TCATCTTTCACAGCGGTAGAATATCTGAGCACACACTGCATGCATATCCCAAACCCAAATGGATAAGGTGGTGCAGATACAGTTAGGAAAAAGCATTCCCTAAAAAAAGAAAAAAAAGGAAAAAAGATCCTTTTGATGGAAGTCTGCACAGCTGTGAGATAATTGCCCTAATTAGAAAGGCATGTCAGATTTTGCCCCAGTCTGTAGCTACTGTGTGAACATCAGAAATGGCCTAGCTTGAGTTATTTTAGAGACACTCTGGGATTTTTATAGATGTCTTCACTACACAGATACATTGTGAGAATCTTTTAAGTCTCATACTGTCATTTCACATGGTTAATAGAGTGCCTAAAGCAAAGACCCGAGTATAAAGGGAGATCTGTCAGCCAAGAGTCATCGCAATTTAAGTATTCTGAGTTTTGTGGTCAACACACAGTTTGTGATTTTTTTTCTCCCTACTGTAAAGTACATTAGAATAGCGGTCAGAAAATCCTTACTGTGATTTGAATCAAATATAATGTTTGCCTGCCTCCCTGACTGTGTTTTTCCTTACTGCATTTATTTCTCCCTGTCTCTCCCTCTGTCCTGTATCTCAGATCCTTGGATTTTGTTCTGCACAAGGCTTCTGTCATTTCTTCTTGCCACAGTCATAAAATACTTGTCAGGGCTTTGTAAATGAAATGATTTATGTATATACTATAAATATGAATGATATGAATATGAACTGCTAATGTGAGTGTACAAATAATGGTATCTCATGCATAATCTGTACATAAATAAAAGCCTTTGATTGCTTGGCAATTCAATTTATTGCCCAGTAATTTGATTGATGTATTAATTAATTGACTCCTTTATTGATCAATCCGTTTTTTGATTGGTCCATTTATTGGGTTATTCATTATTTTGCAAGATTCATGACAATTAAGGGTAACTGCTTCATTGAACAGGCTCCCTCAATAACAGCCGCATAGTGCCCGTCTGTCAGCTGTGCAAAACTCATAACCGTAGTTACTCTTAATGCACTAAATGCATTAAAATAAAAAAAACTAACTTCCTGCTCAGTATGTGCTAACAGGGAAATTAGCTACTCAGACCAAAACAATTTTTCTGAACAAGACTTTGAACATGTTTTGTGAAGGTGCTGTTTTGAAAGTGTTTGTGGTTTCTGGTGCTTTTGCAGGCACCTGAGGAAAAGCAGTTTTTAGCAACAACCACAATGGCTTTGTTTTTAAAGGCTCCTCATTTCATACTGGCCATACTTCAGGCCTCCTCATTTCCTGTTTTTAAATCCCTTTTAAAAACGCACTTTTACTCATTGGCTTTTAGTACATTGTAGTGTTAATTTGTTTTTTATCATCTTAGCACCTGCCGTGAGCCTCCTTATTTATACACTTATTTATTCTTTTGCATTACTGTATTTCTGCTTTATCTTGTTCTTTGATTGTTTTATTTGTTTTTATGTGTCACTGTACAGCACTTTGGCTACCCTTGTGGTTCTTTTAAATGTGCTATAGAAATAAGGTTGATTGATTGATTGATTGATTGATTGATTGATTGATTGATTGATTGATTGATTGATTGATTGATTAAAGACCTAAGATTGCACAGTCTTATGTAAATCAAGCAAGTTACAGAGGTATGGTTAGACTTCCTTTCAACAGGCAGAAACCTGAAGCAGATTCAGACTCATGTGGGACAACCAGATGTAGTTAGTTAGTTATCCAAGCCCTTTTCTAGCCACCCTGATTATTGCAAAATCTTATCAGGCATGTGCTCGACAATCATATCAATTCTACCCTGTTGAACTGCACCAAAATCCTGCCATTTTTCTGCAAAGCATTTACTGATCTTTTTTTTCTTTTTGAACCCTTTCATAATATCACTCTCTCTCTTGCTTCATTCTGCATCAAAAAAGAAAAACTGCATACCACCCTTTTCTCTAACTTAAGATATAAGATCATATCTAAGCAGAGCGGACATAATGCAGTGCAAAAAAAGGTGCAAATGTAAATAGAGTTTGTGAAGCCACCATTCAAAGCTGGCTCCTCCTGCTCACCCCAATTAGTGGGAGGGAGGGCTACTGGTGGAAAACTTTAGACCCCTAATATTCATACTGATATCTGAAGTGTTGCAACATAAAGGCTTCACACTGGAGCCTCTCAGTGTACGGATGCTGAGCTGCACTATGAAGTTGTCTTCTGAATTCGAATGCCTGTGCTCTATAAATAAATGTATTATCATTAAGATGTATGCAAACCCCACATTTCTCATATATTGGTAAGTTCTGGAGGAAACAAATCACAGTAATTCTCAAAAAAAAACCAGTCACAAAGGAAAGTGTATGATTATCAGAGTCATATTAAAGGACTTCTCTCAAGAGTTCAAAATGCACAATCCAGTTTCTCCACATGGTGGTGCTCTTACAGTTTGTAGAGGCACTTGGACCTATTATTGACAAGCAGCCTTTTTGCCCTGAGAGAAACAGAGAACATGGTGCACACCTATGGTGCGTGGAAATCAAGAATAATACACAAAATAATCCCGTCACGCTACAAATAACATCAAAAACAACAACTTGTTTTAAATTTTTACAGGCCATGAATCCTGTCTCATCAACCTGGATATGTACAATGTCTTTTCAACTATGCACCTGTGATTTCAAAACATTCAAAGGTTTCAGTTTTCTCACATTGTGATCACATACTGTTTTTACGAGAGCAGCCAAGAGGGAATCTAAAGTCATGAGACTTAAACCGACATCCAGTCCAGCACACACTCTGCCCTTTAGCTCTCACTGCCCAGCAGCAGCAATTACAGCAAGACAACAGCAGGCTGAGGACACTTGAGGACACAGACTCAGTTCTGGAAATTGAAGATTAAGGTAAATGCCATACAGTTCAGAGAGAGACTTTTCCTTTAATTCTTCAATTCTTTGAATAATGAATCCCTGCAAACTCAACCATTTACATGCCTTTATATATCCTTTGTGATATACTTGGTCGATAATAAAGTGATCATTAGCTCCTCTAGTGGGATTGTCCTAGATGTCCCTTCAAACCTTTAGTTTGATGTGGTTTTGGCACAAACTTTGCTGATCTAAACAAACTAAATTAGTTAAGTGGTCCACAAGTCTTTTGTCTTAGTTATTTAGAGTTTGGTGGCATTAAAAGCCCTTTAAAATGGGTTTTGTGTTGGGGTGGATTCACATTGTTGGAATTTTTCCTTGACATTGAGGCAAACCTGTACAAATACTGAAAAAATAAAATCTGATTGTGTGTAGCAGCAGTTTCCAGAAGACTATGTGAACTCTTCTTTGCTAACTCTGTGGAAAAAAGATGTTAAAGATGCCTTACAGTCCCTTATGGTCCAGGTAGGTAAGATGTTCATGCACAACTTTAAAGAGCGTTTTTTTAAAGAGACTAAATTGATCCACTGAAGGCATAAATTTACTCTTTTCCCATTTCTTATTAATATCCACAAATGTATCCCAATATTCTATTGACTCCTGCTCTGCCACAGCAGTTTAAGAATGATAGAATAGCTACAGGAACAATAAGTCTTATTGTTGATGCCTCAGCTGTTTATTAAAGTACTAAATCAACATTTCAACAAGCTGATTAGAGGAGAAACCAGTCTGTTTGGACTTGAAGACTGTAGCTGTTTCCATGCCAACCCAAATGAGCTTTAATTATCTATTAACAATTAACATACAAAACAATATTCTCATTCAGGTTCGACTGATTGTGATCAAGCATCAGATATTTTTGGATGATTAAAAATGTAAAAAGATAACCTCATGATATATTGATCAGTTCAGCTGTGATTAATAGAATAAAATCAAAGAAACAGAAAAAAAAGTTTAAGGTGAGACATATTTTACATCAAGACCATGAAGAGAGGAAATACACAGAGAAAAATGTACTTTATTCATTTACCCTGACCTAGAAATACAAAAGACATGCTAAAATCACAGAGCGATCATGCATAATGAAGACTGGTTGGCATAAGGACAACAGCACAACAGCTGACCTGCTTCGAGGTCTGGTAGGAGGATGACAGGTCACCCTCCTCAGACCTCATTGTCAGCCATCTTTTGTTTATCCGCAGCTATTCACAAAATGCATAAAGTCAAATTTAAAGAGAAGGATGGAGTCAATGTCTGTCAAAGTACAAAAGAGCATGACATTACCAGCCCATCAAGGTCAAGGCTGATGGCAGGGGGGCTGAGTTAATCTATCCTGAAGGGGGGTGGGGACAATCTGCAACTAAGAACTCACAAAGACAGGATGCACATTGACAAAAGACCATGACTGGCTATGGGACAGTATGTGATTCAGGGGCCACAGTAAGAAGGGCAGACCCCCCTCTCACTGCTCTTTATAATTCCCCCCTATCATTTAGACTGTCTGTAGGCTTTTGAATACTTTGTTATGGAAAAAACGATTATAAAAAAATTATATGCATGTGTATTATCAAAAACAAAGAGATTCAGCGCTTAATTAATACTGTAGTATCACAAAGAGAGTATAGCAAATGTGACGTGTCATTAGAACAAAAGAGAGTGGATTAATCTTAATAGGGGTGAGGCCAAGTGTGTGTGTGTGTGTGTGTGTGTGTGTGTGTGTGTGTGTGTGTGTGTGTGTGTGTGTGTGTGTGTGTGTGTGTGTGTGTGTGTGTGTGCGGCGGGGGGATACTTGGGGCACACATGGCACCAGGATAAGCTTAATCACTGGCTTGCAGAAATCCTGAAAAGTGGGGAGGGGGATGGGCCCTGTCTCTGGAGTGACTCATTTAGATTTCTAAGAAAGCATTTTGCAGCTGTGTTTCACCCCAGCATGATGGAGAAGTGCAGTTTTATTTACTGCTCTCTTCTGAGTCTCTATTGGTTCTGATAGCAAAAAAATAAACAGCAGAGTATCATCCCCCCACTTCTCCCCAAAGCTGCTGTGCCCGTGGGTTACAGCCTCTATTCATAGTTCAGCCTGCAGGAGCCACACCAGTATTACTCATCCCCTCATGTGAGTCCGCTGAAAAAAATGTGTTATGTTAAACAAATGTACAATGTTCTAACAAACCAATGAACATGTGCTTTTTTCTGGTCTACTGATACATTAATTGACTTCATTGAAGTCTCGGTCTAGCTCTGTTTGTGTGAGAAAGCTTCACTTGCTAAATGTTAAACTTAGTTTACCAAACACGTACTCGCTGTAACGTTGTGCCTTCAGGCTCTAAGCAGGTGGTGAACATTGTGTTTTCTTTTTTTCTTAAGGAAAAACAGCTGTCTTTTGTTAGAAATGACGCAGATGAAAGTGTTGAGAGTGAGAGAGAGACAAAACACAAAAGATGCGGGCAAAAATACTGTATATACAGTATATGGTCCCAGCTCTGACAGGATTAACCCACAACTGGTCCTCCAAAGGGATAATGGTGCTCAGAAAGTTTAATAATAATTGAGGCTACTGTCAAGTATGGTAGCTCTCAGACCGAAAACAGACACAGAAGGTCAATTTAAGTAGAAGGTTGCAGAGAGATGGTGGCAGGTTGAGTTGGGGCTAAAAAAAAAAAAAAAAAAGGTTACCCTCATTTTAGTGTATGGAGGATGACAAATAATAGAGTGACCATATTTTGACTTCCTAAAAAGAGGACACAACTACGTGGGGGCGGAGTCACAGGGTGGCACAAAGTTAATTTTGAGAGTTTTTTGGGTCGGATCGAATGTCTTTTATGTGCTTCGAACTCAGTAAGTCCATGTAACACAAAATCTAAACTCTCGTACAAACCATGGACATTTGAATGATTTCATAAACTTCCACGGACAAAGACAGACAAGCCCGGACGCAATTTTTTTTTTTGTCGGATGGTAGGGGAAGGTCCCGCCCTCCTTCGCCTCTGATTGGCTAGAAGTGCTGGGCTCTGAGTGGTTTTTCATCGTCTGTCAGGTTAGGGTTAGGGTTAGTATAAGGGTTAGGGTTAGGATTAGGATGAGGGTTAGGGTTAGGAGATTCAGAAGTGCGATGATGTTCTGTAATGTTCTGTTCGATGTACAGAGCCGACAGTCCGCCTTTGGCTTGAGCGTGTGGTGACATTTCCAGCTTTTCTAGCCAATCAGAGGCGAAGGAGGCGGGACTTTTCCCTACCGTCCTACAAAAAAATATTGCAGCCCAGACAGCCTCCAAAAAAGAGGACATGTCCGGGTGAAAGTAGACGTATGGTCACCCTACAAACAAGCTGTTCGGGCCGAAATCCAGACTTAGTGATGGGCACAGCAGTTCTTTTAGATGTACTGAATCACTAGAATCAGTTCACTTAAAGGATTCGTTCAAGAGATTTGTTCACCAAATCATCGAATCATTTAGTGCTTGGTGGGAGAGGCCTGCGACTCCAACCTCCTGAACTGATACACAGCTGAACAGTTCAGGATTCAGTTCAATTCATAGCTTCTGGGACCGGGAGACGAGAGTGTTTGGTCGTGTTGCTTTGGCAAACAGGTTTGTAAAAAATGTACTTGTTTATGAGTCATGATGTTTAAAGTTTACTGTACTATGGTATGCTATTTATCAGGTCTTGCTTGGTACTTTGGGGTCAGTGAGTGATTCATTCACAGAACGTTTAGAAGAATTCAAACTGAACATGCACCGTTCCCTTGCAAACCGCTGCAATGATAAGATGCTGCGGGGTTTAATGCACTACTTGTTATATGCTGTTGTCCTATTTTATGCAAGTTATTGGGGTGGCAATTTAGCAGTAAAAAAAAAGGTAGTGTAGTTCAGTGCATGATTTGTTTACCAAGTGATTCAGGCATCAGTGAGTGTGGTCCCTCGTTCACTGGCTGCTCGACTGGCAATGCTGTTTCTCACCTCAGCTCAACTGAAGTGAGAAACGAACAAATCACTTGAGGAAGTGATTCGGTTCAGTACGTTCACTTAAAAGATTCGGTTCTTTTGAACGAATCGTTCGCGAACGACACAACACTATCCAGACTGATAATTTTATTTAGGCTGTAAACATGGACATGTTTGAATGGGTTTTACACTGGCTCGTGCTGCTTTCAGAGCCAGCTTCAAGTGGACACTTCAGGAACTGCAGCTCAGACAATATTTATTTGATATGAAAAAACAACAGACTTTTCAGTTGGGCTACCTGGTAAAAGTTCCCCTCTTCATTGCAACAGGCAGACCTGGTTTCTATCCATCTGTAAATACGTGCATTTCATGCGTTTTCCTGGAGGTCTCATTTGTTTGTTGCCGATCAGTTTACACTCGTCACACACTGAAGTGGTAACCAGGCATAATTTATTTGCACTGGTATTTAATGTTGAGACAGAAGAGGGCGCTGCTTCATTCCCAACTAACCGGGCGCTGAGCAGTGCACGAGGAGGACTGTTGTGTCCCATCCGGAGTGTGTGGAAGGTTGTGGAGATGAGGAGGCGGGGAGTGTGAATGGATGGGACTGTCGGTGTGGACAGTGGAGGTAAGCTTGTTTTGCCGTACGGGCAGTACACCGCTTCCACTCGTGGGCATTATCCTACCCCTCATGACCTCTCCCGAACAACCTCTGATATCGTTTTTATTTTGAAAGTCTCGTTTTTTTTTCTGTTTTAAAGAAAGAACTGGATTTATTTGACGGAGCCGGGCGGCAGAGACGCTGTGACCCAAACAATAAGTGACAACGACCAGTTCATCACAAAAGACTCAAGGTGAGAAACGATGTGTTTTCACACAAACTCAGAAAGTTGGTTTTGTTGTGGCATACAGGTTTATCCTGGAGAGGTGGTCAATGAAATAAGGCGCAGAGACGCGCTTTGCGAAGAGCCGCATGTTTGACTTTTACATTATTTATATCTCCTCAACTTCACTCACACGAGGTACGTCTAACGCCATGGATATCTATAGATTTTTGCTTGTAATATGTTAACCAATGTGCTTTTACCTTCAAAAACACCTATGACATGCTGGACGTCCACCATATCACTCCAAATCATGTCCATCTGCTGCGTAAAGGTGTAAATTATCACTCGCCTATTGTGAACTCGCATAGCCTACAGGTCTGTATGTCTGGTAGTTCACCTCTTCCGGATAAGCAACTTGGTGCGCGGCTAAAAGTCAATTAAGCAACTTGTTTTAAATGTAAAGTGGTATTTGGACAGTGAAGCACAATAGGTGTGGACTCCATTTTGACACCCGTGGGTATCTTATGTTTGAAGAAACTATAGATAATATAAGACCTTTTTTTTCTGTCTTTCTGTTTTATTATTAAAGGGACCCGTAACCCTTTCTTTTCTGGCTCCAGATTGTGGTCAGCCGGTCTGCTCTCCTCTGTGTGAATATCCTGTTTCCTGGACCAAACAAACAATAGGCAGGCCAGCATGGAAGGCATATGATATCCTGTATGGGTTTTGTGTCATAGCAGACCATAAAAACAGGCCTAGTAGTTGGAGTTTGGAAACATTGGGTGAATAGTTTCATAGTTTTCGTGCAGATTGAAAGAGTAGCTTGATGCCAACTTTAAGGACATTTTATAGGCTGTGACACACAGCAGATCTGCTATGAGGAAACAGAGAGACAGGAGGTGAGACAAAGCAAAGGCACAGGACTTAATAAAGGTGACAGCACTGAATGTGTCTCATGGAAGCAACATGTGCCGTCTCTTTGTTTCTTTATGAGATACACACACACGCACAAACTGCACAGGCAGCAGCACTGCTTTGTGTTGACTTTAGTTTCTGCTGCTTTTAATGGGGTCAGCGCTTCCGATTCAATAAAGCTATTAACCGCCAGAGAATATTCCATGGCCACAGCACAGCCCCGGCACAGACAGCTGTTATTTACCAATCAGGATTCATCTACAACCTCATCTATACATGGAGGTCTCTGAAAGGGTAAACAAGACTAAACAGAACATCCAGTCAACCTGAAAAGTGAGAAATGAGCGGCTGAGGTGTTCCCACCTCTCATCAAAGACCTGGTTTCTGGGAAAAGTCAGCATGTTTAATTTTTTTTCCTCACACACATTTATTTGAACGAGGGTACACACATTGACATCCGTCACCTGAGTTATTTGACACTGTTGTTCCACAGGTTCACACGATTCAGCACTTTTAGTAGAAAACAAGGTTCCTGCTAGACTGGTTTTGTTTGTTTCTTACCAAGCTGAATCGCTCTCTCTGTAAAACAGTAATTTTACCAATTTCATGAGCTGAGGACACCTTAATGAGCAAATTGAACATGGTGTACAAAAAGGCACAACTGTTGAGAGTTTTTTTTTTAGCATTTATTTTGAAAGCAGTGGTCTTGTAAACTGGGACATTTCAGAGCCTTTACCTTTTCACTTTTACCTCAACCAAGAGACACACTCCTGGTCTCTGTGAATGTGAGAAATACTGAATGTACTGGACCTGTAGTGATAAAACCAGAAAAAAAAAGTCCATCATCTGACTTAAATTTGGCCTCATTTTTCATTATCTCTAAATGTTTTCCGCATATTAATTAAGCGAACAATTTGAGCATAAATTCAGCCTATAAATCTGAACTCTGCTCTTCGGTTAAGATGATAGGAAAACTGTAAAAAGTAACCAACCCACCATAACAGAGGTTTATTATTGAAAAGAGTTTCAATAGAGGAAGTGTTATTTTTTCAGCATTAACAAATTCTGCTTTTCCTTCGTGAGAAAAACATGTCATGCTTTCTGTTGAAAGTTACTCAGTCCTACTTTAAAGTTTGCAAAGACAGCCAGAACATAAGTGAAAACACTTGATTAAGAGAGCATAACTCTTGTCAAAATAGGAAAACATTGACATTGTGGATAATTGGCTGTTTAATGTATACAGGCTTTCAGTTTGAGGCATTGCTCGGGGTCAGGCAGTGGGTCAGTGTTTTGTGGGTCAACACTAATCTAAGGGCTTTGCAGTGAAAATCAATTCACATCGCCCCCTGTGTGAAGGGGGTGTATGAGCAAAGAAGCTGGGACGGTGTTACATGAGTATTTCCAATAAACCCAACATGTTTTATCACAAACATCAAAACTCTCTCTCGGTTTGCTGTTAAAAGTCCTTGGCATTTTTAGCACCTTCATAGTTTAATCCAACTGAAGTTGTGTCAACAGGACTGTGTTCGTCATTGGCTGCAATCCAGCTCAGCAGTGAGAGACACTACAGCTCTTTCCTCGTTCCATCTCTGCTATGTCTGGTCAAACAGGATTTCCTGGGATATAAAAAAAATAGAATAGAGAAATACAAAGGGTGTCTAGCCATGAGCCTCACGGGCAAAGCAAAGCAAAGGCACTGTAAGAGATCCTGCATTGAGTGTGGGTCTCTTAGTAAAAGAAATATGTACAGAGTTCAGTGGATAAAATGATGTAGGTTTTTGTCTCTTTAGAACGATTCTTGTATGTGTGACTGCAGACAATAAAACTGTTAAGGATAGTTTTTTTCTCTGCTTCCTTTGAGAAAAAAGAAAACAAAACAGGCACTCAATTCTGTATAAGGTGGCTGTTAGTTGGTTGGGGTTTCCTCTGTGATTTAGTTCCCATTAGAGTAAGGAGAGCAAGATTTCAATAATATAAGATCCAGTTTGTTGGTAGAAAATATTACAACTCAAAACCACCTGATTACTGATATTTCAATTGGGTTCACAGGAAACCCCCTGTGCATCAGTGTCTATTAAACCAAGTAGTCGGGTAAAAAAACGCTCTTTTCCCAGAGGAATATAAAACCAACCACAATTAATAATAAAAATGAAGAGGGAGAACACCGATTACTGGTTGTCTAAACCTCTTTCTTTCCTTTCATCCCCTCAAGGGGAGATGGTCTGAAAGGATGCACCATTTATCTCAGTGTGTATGGAGAGCCTGAATCCACCACTGTGGTGACTAAGTGTCCATTTGCTTTGTTTATTTACCAGCTGACGCAGTAGTTTTCATGCTAGGTTGTTCACACACTCAAACAAAAACTGATCGAAACAGTGAGATTTATTTTTATTTAATTTATTTTGATTTTATTTTTTTTTAGAACATGTGCATGCAACACAAGAAAGTAAACTGAAAACAAACAACACCAATGGGAATATTCAAAACAACAATAACAATAATCAAAGCAAAACAAAATAGATACTAATAATAATGGGAACCCAACATGTCCGAAAAGCAGTATGATGAAGCATTACGCTTATTTAATCCTACCCCTTCTCCGCTACTCAATTAACAGTCAGTCACTCCAACATAATTACATTGTATGAACAAATAATAATAATTAAAAAAAATGCATAGAGTAAATAAACAAGAACTGTCAAATGAGGCTGTGAGTCTGTCTAACAGGCATCTGGTCCATTATTTTTAGTGCTTGTTCATATGGTGACCTTGGTCTCTGTCTATGGTGACATTCAGTCTCTCCTGATGCTCCTCGTTTGTAATTAGGTGAAATTTACAGTGTTGTGAAATTCAAACACTTTGTACTGCTGCACAGATGAGGGTTTGTTGTGTAGATCCTCCACCGCATACGAACAGGTGACCTGCCTCTTGGTGAGTTCAACCACAACATCAGGCAGTGGAGGTAGCCTTGAGTGCAACATATCTATCGAGCGTTACACCAGAGCTGAAATCCCCCCTTTTTTTTCCTCCACCGCCCTCCTTCTGTTCCTCCTCCCGCTCCTCCTACGCCTCCTCCTCTCAACATTTCTCTCAGACTGGGTTGAAATTGCTACGAGGCTGAGAAATTGAAAATTAGAACAAAGCAAAGCCTGCTTTTCCTGTCTGTGCCGCTGCTAACTGACCCACAAGGTTTTGGGTGGAGGGATGGGGGCTGGTTAGTCCCTGTAATTACACTGCTTTTATGCATCTCCGTCTTTCCATCCATATATTACTCTTCAGTCTTTCTTATTTCTCTGCTAAACGCATACTTCACAGGTCAGACACGCACTAACCCTCCAGGAGAGCTGTAAGACCATAGTGCTGAGCGGATGTTTGAAAGCCTGGATGGTAATTGTCACAATGAGACTCGCTCCGCTGTGAGTGCGTGGAAGGTAAATACAGAGGGGTCTGAGCTGCCTTTATTACCCTCTCAGGCACAAATAGAAAAGGTACATGGTTTTGAGTCTGAAAAAAAAATCAAACAGCAGACATGCCTCACAGCCTCAGATCCTCTGTGATCGATGGTGTTCAATGCTTAAAACCCCGAGTGAGTATTTCAAAGGTTTAGTGCCAGAAGGGATTGAGGCATAGTAAGGAAAACACTGGAGACTCCTTTCACTATGTGATGCCCCCTAGTCTCACAACCCCCCTCAGAGTCATTTCCTGTTGGATTAAGCTCCATTTTTCTTTTTAAAGCCTTTCCTTAATAAATTAATTTTGTTTTGGTTGTTGACGGGATGGATGTGCGGTGGGGGTATTTTGGGTGTGGTGTTGTAGACAAAAGAAATGGAGGCTGAATGGTTGTCACTAGTGTTTTACTAATGGAGTGCTATGTGAGCCTTTGTTTTCACACAGCTAAAACTGGAAACTCAAACCCCACCTAGACCACTGCTCACACACTGAGCAGGTCTCCTAGCCTGCACACTGTATCCCCAGCAGGTAATAGAGAGAAAATCATCCGGCCGCAGTAACCTCTATCACTGCAGCTTGGGCTGAGAGGGAGGTCGACATGCAGGTAATAGGGGGTAGTCATTATCACCTGCTCTGTGGACCATAACCGAGCATCCCGCTTGTTCGTTCAGACAGGCCGCCATGAGCTGTCTGAGAGGGATACAGAGCTGTGGAGAAAAATAGCATAGTGGAAAGATATACTGTAGGTGTGAGGTGGAAACATTTCCAAAGGTATTTTGGTGTAAAAGTATGATTTGGACATGAAAACCTTCTTTTCAGGTTTATATTTCCTGCTAAGAAGCTTGGCTACAGATCGTACTCCATAAATTCACTCTGCTGCCCTGTACTGTAAGTAACAGCAACGCACATCGTACAGCTAGACGATGTGTCACAGGAGGTGCGCCATTGTATGACAGCTACTTAGAGTCCAACGTTAAATAGTCTTCGCTTGGCTAAAATGAAAGATATCAGGTTAGTGTTAAGCGATACAGTGTTTGAGGCCCTGGAGAAAGCTGATGCGGGGTCAATATAAAGAACTTAGTTTTCATAGGTGTCAGGTACACACATAGGGAAGATAATACTGTATCCTCAGGGGAGGGTTGTGCATGGTTTGAATTGTATTGTGACTTATCTATATTTCAAACTAGAATGTTAACTTAAAACTACGTAATTGATGAGTAGATCAAAACGCCCTCTTACTATCTTTTATGCATCAGTTTTTCCTATTCTGCTCTGCTCTGGTCCTGTTTTGCAGTCATTTTTAGTGCCTATCTCTGACGTTTACCCTTTCACAACAAAAATAAACATATTCAGTGAAAAAGGCTACATTTGCAAACTAGTGGACAACATGTGAAACAAAACGTGTGGTGGCAATTTGTATGAAGAGGAGAGTAAAAAAAGGTTGATGTTAGTGTCAAGTATGAAGATTTAAAGATATTTTTGATGACATTAGTCCTCAGATGGTTCGTGAAAAGGCACCAGGTGCTCAGAAAACACAGAAGTTGTTAAACTTTTGGACTTAGCTGGGACACTAACTGCTGTATCCTGTGTTTGTTTGACCCAAGCTCTGGACTGGGACTTTCCTGCTCCGTGTCACCTGACTTCCCCTGCTTCCTTCATAAACTACAGCCACTACGTATTGATGCCTTAGTGTGTGAAATATGAAGACATCTCTGAAGAAATAACAGCTTACTCAGTCAAGTAAAATACTTGCAAGCTGTACAAGATGCCAAGACTTGAGTTCATGAACAAATAAGCAGAGCGAGGTTTCACTGGCATCTCCAAGGCCTGACTGGTTCCTGTTTTGCTATGCTGGGTCTGCTCTGTTTGTCAATATCAGGATTACTATTTAATGTACTATATAATGATTTTCTTTTTCCTAACTGTGTAGAAACCATCTATTCTGTACAGGCTCTGTTGATCGAATCAAACGATGCATTAACCATAGTGTCTGAAAAACAAAATAATTCCTAGAAATAAGGGTGTTAATATAGTGGTTTTAACTGTGACATTTCCAGATATAGACCACATATTCCAGATAAGCCTCATAAGAATAAATTGGCCACTTACCAAAAAGTCAAGGACTGCAGGCAGCACTCATCAGGCCCTTACACCTCTGTACATCTGGGCTTTGGTGTAGGAAGGAGCAGGTTGTCAGTATTTGGTGCATGTCGGGGTGTGGAGCTGGCTGGATAGGGTGCTGGTCAGAGTGTGATGCAAAGTGAAGTGTGAAGGTGCTAAGACTGTGCTGAAGCCACCGTGTCTTTATAATAATAATGCATTTTATTTTTAAGCGCCTCTCTCAAAACTCAAGGTCACTTTACAGATAAAAACAGACACGAAAACAGTTTAGACAGTAAGTGTTTCAGGCACAGTATGAAATGAGATTACTAACCAAAATCTGTAACAACCTTTAAAACGTGAAGTGGTTAACTGTTTCTTACTATGAAGAAGAACTATTAAAAAGACTGAATGTTTTCATTCAGATGTTTTCAGAAAGAGACTGTTTTCAGACATGAAGTCTAAGGCACAGCAGACAGTGGGTCTAATAAAGACTTTAGAAAGTCCCAAGAGCTATTTTTAAGATATTTTGTCATGTGTGCTGAGGACATTTTAAGTGTGCCAATACTACAGTCCTCTTTGGAGTGTTTTTAAAGGACTGTTGCAATTTTCATGCTTTGACCGAGTTCATTTTTCACCCATTCAACCATCCCTTCACAAGGACAGTCAGGCACAGCAAACCCAGCAGCACTGCTTCTCTGTTGTCTTTATGAAGTTAACACCGCAGTGGGGTTGACTCTGCGTGTTTGAGCAACATTAACTTCCTTTTTGATGGTGAGACATCAGTCTTTGATTCTTTGAAGTTATTTAGGCCAGCATTTTGACTTTAGCAGATAAGACAGCTGAAGACAGACAAGACATGTGGAGAGTATATAGAGGGTGGTGACACAGCAAAAGGATGGGGGCTGCATCACTGCTGTGAGGACAGAAGCTTCTGTACGTGATAGTTTTGTAGATGAGTTAGAAAACTTTCCTTTGTTACAATTTTCCCTTTATATAAACCAAATGGAACTTGAATTGGATGGACTCCAGATGAGAAATTAATCCAGGAAGGACCCTAAGAACGACTTAACCCCTTGCTTTTTATTCAAGAATTAAGAATCGTAGACTCTTGGGTCCAAAGTTTCTTTTTTGTTTGTCTAGCCATGATACATAGTTTCAAAGAGATGTGCAAAAGTTGGGTCTCTTTAAAAATCACATGGAATTTGGTGTATGAGTGACTGTGTATAGTGTTTTAACAGAGTTGTTTTCTGTCTCCACAAGGGTTGCTAATGAATATATGAAATATTTAGACAAGACTAATCATAAATGTAAAGTTTTGTCAAATTGGAGCATTAAACTTTGAAGTGAAAACTGCTCTAAGAGGCTGAATAATAAAATTCCTATTGTCATTATTTGTTGCTTTTAACTGACAGGAAATTGCAAGCCTTTAATTTTCCAGATTGAAACATGTCCAGCGTAAACTCTGCTCCCCTGAGCCTGCAGGGGTGAGGGGGATACAGTACTGGTAGTTGAATTGAGTCCTTTCTTATAACTTCAAGTGGTGTATTGGTTGAAGATGGAACCTGTCTAGTATGTAGAGAAAGGTTGGTTTGTGTTTTTAACCTACAACTCATAGCTCTGTGGCGCTGTTATTCACAGTGGACTTGATGGGGAACTGATGATTTTTGTTTACTATTATTCATTTTAGGTGGTTAAGTTGGTCATTTCTTAAAAGAAGGTTGGTGGTCTGATCCCAGTTCCTGGAGTCCACATGACTTAGTCTAAGATGTGTCAATGTCAGCACTAGGCTTCTGGCTGTCTTTTACCAAAGTATTCTGGCTAGTGTCCTTATTTATGCTGTACTTTGATGGGCTGGTAGCATATCATCTGATGACAAAAATAGGATCAACAAGATGATCAAGAGGGCCGGATCAGGGTTAGTCCCAGAGTCTCTTCAGGCCATTGTTGAGAGGAAGGCCAGGTCTAAATTAAAATGAATCCTGGGCTACAGAGATCATCCATTGCACTATATCTTCAAAGGTTTTGAAAGCTCACTGAGTGAGCTACTTGTGATGCCTCGGCGCTCCACTGAACGACTAAGAAAGTCTTTTGTTCCAGCAGCAGTGAGATTTTTTTAATAGTATATGTTAGGGTTTGACTTGGCACTGCTGCATAGTTTGTCGAGGTATTTATTTGGGTATTTATTCATTTTGATCAGGCTTTTGTTGTATTTAATCATGTCCTTATCTTTTATTGTACCACTCTTAAATCATGTTTCATTGGCCTTTACTGTGTTTGTTATGTGTCTGGTGTTGAGTTTAGGCCTTTCTGATGTCTCTATGCTGTTTGTTGTCTGTATGAGTCTTCATGTCCTGGTGGCGAAATAGTTTTCCCCCATGTGGGATCAATAAAGTCCACCTTACCTTACCTTACCTTCAAGTGTTCTTGGTCAAGATAATGGAGCTCAGACTGCTCCTGGTGGCATAGCCAGCTGTGTGTGAATGAGACAGTTGACATGGATGGACACTTTACCCAGCATCCTCTGCTGTAGTGTGTGACATTGTTTTGAGTGTTCAGATGATCAGACAAACACTATGTGAGTAGAGATCAGCTTAAAGGGTCTCAATATAGTAAACTTCGTTGAATATCTTCTTGACTCTTTAATGCTGATCCTGAAACCCTGCTCATATGCATAAACATACTCTGCAAAAACAAATGGAGTGATCATTATTAAGCGTTTTTTTTTTCTTTTCTACTCTAGATTAAAGGTGGTGTAGGCAGGATCTGAGGAAGTGCCAGTTTTGGGGAGAAATCTTGAATGTAAACACTACCCCTCCCAACCAGATTCCCCTCAGCTCCTCCTCTTTCCTCCCCCTCTGCTCCAGCAAGCCCCGCCCACAAACAGACGTGTCTGCGTGCTCGTATCGGTCCAATTGAATTCAGATATAAAGCAGATAAATATTTCTGATAATTACAAATGTGGCCCAGTCAAGGTGAAAGTAAAAAGCATTGGTGCTACTGTAGATGCCAACAGACTACCAGCAAACACAATGTTTGCAGGACTTCTACAACTAGGATAAACTGACATACTCCAGGACCCGAGGTAAACAGTTTAGCGGCGCTACAACATGCAGCAGGTCCCATTTGACAAGAAACACTTCTGTGACAGACACTTGTCTTACTTTGGTAAAGCGCTTTACCTGTCCAGCAGAAAGGTTACAGGGTTCGTAAGATCCCGAAGTGTTTATACTTCATTAATGTTGAGCACTTTTCTTTTGTCTCTTGATAGCTCTTTTTAGCTCTTGTCCGGTCTACCTCCTTTTCAGGCGCTTGTTATTCTGCCAGAGTCTCCGGTATTTAATTCGTGTTCTTGCTTGTGTTGGCAGTCATGGCCAAAGGAGGATTCCGAAAATTTTCCGTACTTTCTGTTTGGTTTCTACCATCTGATATTGCAGACTCTTGAACGTTATTCCAGGATGTGGAGCATGCCTCACAACACGGGGGAGCAGGGTCTGCCTCTCAACCAATCAGGTTAGGGAGGTGGAGAATGGCTTCGTTTACCGTCAGAAAGAGTGGGCCGCTCAAAAAATTTAAAATGTTGACTACACAGATGTAACAAAACACAGTTATATTACCAAATGTCATCAATAACTAATAGCTATTGACTGATTTTAAAAGCTTTTCAATATTATTAATATGTTTCTTTAATGGATTCCTGCCCACCTTTACTTTCATACTTCAACCATCTTGAGGCTTAATCATATACTTTGTATATATTTATTTTTATTCCCTTTCCTTTACTTACTACATCTCTGTAGCACTCTCTTTGTTTCATCTGGATGCCTGTGGAGATGTCAGCAGCGGGCATTTATAATTTCATCCCTCGGCCATGATATTGAAAGCTAATGACACAGGCTCTTTATGCTTCTTCTCAGAAATGTCTGAGCAAATCTGGGCCCTCACAGTCCCTCAGGGCAGCATTTTACACAGCAGAGATAGTGTTGTTTGCTGACATCTCAACCTCTGCTTCCTCACACTCTGCATCCCCCGACCTCTTCCTCCCCAGCATCTGCTTCATGCAGACACTTGGTTTATCATGGCCTATGGCCTCCAGTGATCCCCTGGAGGCGCTATCCCACACAGCAGAAAGAACTGGCCCCAAATCCCCAGACCCAGCAGACAAGCTGATAGGTTGGTAGTAAAAGCCTCAAGCTCTTCGGCCTTGCCTCATTGCTTGCCTTCTTTCTTTTTCAACCCCCTGCTAAGTCATACAAAGCTGGGCTTGACTTTGCCACTTAACTGCACACACAAAGCTTCTCTGTCTAACCATTTACTTTTAGTGGAAATTCATGTCAAGATGTTGAATTTTTACAGCTCACTGTAAGGCAGTTTAGAGAAAATAGGCATGTCATTTTATACTAGTTTAATTTTCTGTGTACTCACGTCACGAATGAGGCTAGAGGGTCAAGCTTTGTTGGGTTCCCTTAAGTTTAATACACTTAACCTAGATATGTATGGTGTTTGATTACAAATAACCCTCTCATGGAGTTGGAAAGGGTCCTGTGAGGTGAGAGAAATCATAACGAGTTAAAAGTGTGTAAGATAGAGAGAGAGAGCTAAGTCAGACACACTGCACAGATTGTCTTCCATTCATCTTGTCAGCTGCAGTCTCAGTATGTGGCAAAGCCTGTCAGCTGTAGGTCCTTGTGGTTGACAGCTGTTTCTCTGCCCCGCTCAGGCTCTGTTGTATTCACTCAAAGCCCCCCCCACTCCCACCCCCACCCCCTTTGGATAATAATCCACTTCTTACTGCATACTGTAATTGCCATCTAGTGATTTAATGAGCTTGTGGACAAGGCTGCCCCTAACTTGAGCATGATTTTTTTTTTCTCAACAGGTCTGTTCATATTCATATATCTATAAATATACTAGTAAACATCACTATGAGAAACAGTGTGTCTGTATTCTCACTGAATAACTAATCCAGGTAATTAAACATTAAATGAGGCATGAGGAGAGAACATGATATTAGTTTAAAATGATCCAGAAACCCTTAAAACGGCTAACACACTAACTGTTCATAAGAGTTGACACTTACAGGGATTGTCTAAGAAACTCAGTTATACCACCTGCTGGCTAAAAACCATATTGCAGCCTTAAAGGAATAATTATGTACTACACTAGCTCAACTATTGATTGTATTCCCACCGGGGGGGTTGGCGTGGGAGGTTGGGGGTATCACAATAGCCTGGAGAAAACGAGCCTTTAAGTGAGCATAGTGTTGTGTACAGCACATGACCTGCTTAGAGAGATGGAGTGACACTATAGTTACATCAGAGAGGATGACAGACTGTGGTGTGAGGTCATGGTGTAACAGTCAGACACAGTGCCAGGCTGGAGACATCAACCATGAATACTGGGGTACTGTGCTAATGCTCACTGTCTGTAAATGATATCCTCAATTTGAATGTGTTTTATTTATCCCTGTGAGATTATTGTTGTCTCTCCACCTTACTGCTGAGGGTGAATACTGGCAGAAATTTACATTTAAGACTAAAACACAGTGTGTCGCATCAGGAACCTTTTATTAACACATGTTAGCAGGAGTCTGCCACTAACATATGCACTCGCGGTCACCATGTGTGACTAACAGCAGCTTGTTTCGGTGAAGTGTTAAGCTGTCCATTCCCACCAGGCAGCTGATGCCTCCCACATCTGTCAGTGTTCATCATAGTTAGCAGATTATGATTCAGATTTGCCTGTAATGTTGGTGATAGATCTGGCCTTAAACAATAGATTCACATAGTTCTTGTAATGGTAGATTATTGTATTTAATACTATCAGGCAACTATTTACGACCCTCCAAAAGGTCTTCTTGTGGTCAGCAAGAAATTTGTTGGATGCAACAGCATTTTATATGTTGCAAATTATGTTTTCTTATAATTCAAACTGAGGACAGAGTCATGGTGTTTCCAGTTTCTAATCTTTATGCAAAGCCACTCTGTCTGCCTTCAGCTTTATGAAGTTATATGAAGTTGATGGACACGAAGGAGTTACATTTGGTGTCTATTAAAAAGTTCTGAGTAACCCTTGGTGTTATTATAATACCCCTTGGCCTAAACATAAATCAGTGCACCTCACCATGTGTTGATTTTTTATTTTATTTTTTTATCAAATCAGTTAAGGATAGATAATTTGTGCCTGAAACAGACTCTCACTGAGCCTATTTATTTTGTGAATGTCTGTTTTTCTTCTTTAAAGTCCCACTCTGATCGTTATTCTATTTTTTATTTATTTTTTTATTACTTAAAAGTGTTCTCAGTGGTCGAAGTTTTTACCCAAAAAAAATCGTGTTACCGTGTCATTTTGAAGGGCTTTAGGGTTTTTCTTTTACAGAGCTCCAGTAGATCATTAGCAATTCGCCTCTGAGTCGTGGGCGGAGACAGCGCTGCTCTGCACACTCCTCTTCACGTTAGCTTGCAGCCTAACATTGCTGGTGTAGTAGAAGTGGCAGGTAACATAGGAGCTATTCAGCTCTCGGACACTAATGTCTTCAGGGACACAATGAAAGTTAAAATCATAATTAGCTTTCTTATGAGCATTGCAATCCGTTAACACACACGCTTGTTCTGCAATTGTCCTCTCTATTTCTCCTCTATATGCAGAGTGTGGCCTACATAGCAGGGCTCCGGGGGTGGAGCTTGGATTGGTTACATATGAAATCTCACTGTTTCTGAACCTGCCGTTTGGGTCTGCCAGAGATTCACAGCGATTTGAATGAAGAAATACTCAGAAAAGCGATTTCAGATTTAGTTTTCTCGTGATATGTCCTCTAGCATCAGAAAAATGCCAAATGAACATATAAAAAAACAAGAAAAAACATGATTTTCTTCGGAGTGGGTCTTAAAGCCTGAGTCACAGCTGATTGCCATAGCTAGTGAAATCAGTTCACTACCTGCTCATGGCATTATAACTAATATGTTTATTTCCAGCATGTGTGCGTCAGCTCTGACATTACATTACTGTATGCACTGATACAGTATGCATGACCAATTCTGACCTGCTATGATAGAATAGAACAACTGAACACCTTTTGAGAGCGTAGTGTGAGCCAGTTATTCAAATAAGACACTGCTGAGTCATTGTACAATTTGATTCAGGTGTTTGCCGGTAAATTGCAAATCGACAAAAGATGACATATGGTTTTGCTATATCTCTCAAATTCTACACAAATCCCCTCAAAGTGTTTTCTTGCAGTGTGGTTTTGGGTTTAGCCCTTTCAGTTCCACTGTCCCTGCAAATCCACACAAGACCAATTATTTGGAGGGTTTCTGCAGGATATAATGGGTGGATATTCAGGAAATAACTCCCACGGCCCAGACAAAGTGTCAGAGCACAACCGCGCCTGTTTAAAGACAATAAAATGCTGAAATTAAACATTTAAACAGAAGATGAAGTCATTTGCCTCTCAGAGTTAAAAGAAAGCAACTTTATTGTGTCTTGGGCATCAGAGTTTGGGCCAGAAAATGAAACTTTTCCCCCAGCATGTTGCTGTGAGTCGCTGAGGACAGTATTTATGACTCAAGGGGTGATCGACATGTCAGACTTTGATTTCCTTTATGTTGTGGTTGTATACAAGTGTGTTTATGTTGAGGAGATAGAGCCTCTGAAGCAGAGGCCTTGTGTTTCTGTCCTGCTCTTCCCCACCCTCAATGAGGCATGTGTTTTGGACTGAGGCCCAGGATCAAGCCTGAGGCAAGCTGCCCCACTCCAGCCTCTACAGAGCGCTGACTCTCACTGACATTACATCAGCTGGAGAGACATAGTAAACTATGTGTGTGCATAGTGTGGACCCTCTATACAGCTTTTTGCTCTGAGGAAAATCTAAGAGGTCTGCAGACCCGAAAAAAAAGAGGTATCATCATCATCGTCTGGGGCAGAACCTCACTGACAGGGAGAGAAGATAACTAACCATGGCTGTGCAAATCATTCGAGGGATGGAGGACTTGATGGCATCAGGCAGTCAGCTCGTCTGGAGCCTGGCACATCAGACCCTGAGGAGGTGGTACAATACAGGGCTGTTGCCATGCAGACGCTTTCTAGAAGCCTGGCTCAGAATTGGAAAATGCTACCAGGTATGAGATCTCCTCAAGCAAAGGAAGTGTGGATGATGTTGATAAAGAGACAGGAGCGAGTAAATGTTGCAGGTTCTGAGTTTGTGTTGTTGATGTTAATGACTACTGACTTGATTCTATATGGATCATTTTGATACTGATTGCACTCTTACAGCCTTTTGTTTTTCATCTGGCTCATTAGCATATGCGTTTGTTTTACCTGTGTGAATATGAGGAAGCAAAAGCTGTTTCTCAGCGGGGCACACAGCTTCAGCACATGTGGCAGTAATCAGAAAACAGCATGAGCAGCTTTTTGAACTCCCTGTCTGGCTGAAGAGGAGAATGATCAAAGTTGACTTTGAAAGGTTTTGTCGACAAAGAAGACTGTCTGTGTGGTTAACACACAATCTACAGTACCTGTATAAACTCAGGGTACACTTGAAAGGGTTCTGGTTTAACCCTTAGTCCCTTACTGCTATGTAAAAATATTTTTCTATGAGTAGCTGTTCTGGTGTTAGATATGAGTACAAAACAAAGCCTGAAATATGACCATGGGCTTTTTCAGATTACGCCTATCAGGTATGAAAAAATATATACCGCTTCATCCTTTGAAGGTAGGCACAACCCCAAACAGTCTTCAAACAGTCCAGAGTTTGAAGTATACTACTTCATAGAATTGTTACCATATGCCAAAAACTTTTTGTCTTTTTTGTCAAGTAATTGTTATATGGTATGTCCAGAAAAAAACTTTAAAAAGTGTCATGATAGATGTACTAACATGTCAGCGCTACACTCATAGTGATGTTTGTCATGGAGGAGCTTTATGCACATTCTAGCCAATAAAATGCATTACCTTTTTCAACAGATGATTTCTTTGTTTTTATGATTTTAAACTGCAAAGACACTTTAGTTGTTAAAAGTACCAGGTTTCCTCCTAAAGTCTATCATATTTTAGCTAAATGAGCAAAAAAAAACTTACGGAACTTTGTTCTCCTGAAATCTGTCATAGTTTAAATACATGGATAAAGTCATATCTCAGCAGTGGACAGAAATGTATTCATGCTGAACACCATGACAGATGCCATCACTCTTTGTTCTCTAAAGAGTGAGCTGGTGTGTATTGTTGGTTGGAGGGATAGTTCAGGTAGAATGAGCCCAGTGCAGCCTAAGTAGGTCAGTGTGGCAGGGGTCATGTGAAAAGAGTACGAAGACTGCCTTTCCTGAATAACAGTTCAAAGAGGAGGATCCCTTTTATACATATGGACCTCCTTTTTTTATTAGCAGAAATCACTAAGACAAGCCAGGTTCTTACTTCTTTCCTGGCGAAAATTTTACAATGCAGGTTTAATTATCTTACAGTAGATGCAGATTTGTCCATCACATGATATCATGTTGCTTATTGGTTTTCCCTTTAAAAAGTGCTGGACTTAGACCTGGAGAAAAGACTTGAATCCAGCACAGCAAGCACAAATTTGAAGGTAAATCTAGAGTTTGGGCTTGAAATCAGACTGTTAACTAGAGGCCTTTGTTAATTCTTCCATGTTTTGATGTCACTGCCCTGAAACAATACTGCACTGATGGATGAGCACTGAAAGGAGTGTGCCCTCGACAGCCACTGCAGTTCTTAAAAGGGTTATTGTGCATTTACTTTGATTCTTTTTATCAGCAGAAAAGATGCACTTGACCGCTAAAACTTGGAGCATGAAAATATAGGACTGTGCAGCTGTAAACAGTAGAACTAGGGAGTATTGTGTTGAATTCTAAAGCTCTTATGAAAGCAAGCTTATGTGACAGTAAATAAAAAACCTTTAGATCTTATTTTAGGGTTCAGGGACTTTAAACCACATAATAAAAGAGAAAACAAAAAAGTGAAATTAATGCTCGTGATAAAGATATCAAATAAAGTTTACGGACTTCTTAGTTTATAAGCGATACAATACACCACAATCATTTCACTTACAGTGAGGTTTGTCTTAATGAGCTACAGCTGGATAACTATTGCACCACATTACTTGAAAGTATGCTACATTTTTATCACTTCTAGCAGTTATCTAGATTAAATTTTTCCCAACTTTAAACTAGATTATAAAGACTATGTCACGAGAATTTGTAGAAAGTAATTAAATGTATCTGACAACATCATAAATGAGCTTGACAACAATAGTAAGATTTTACCAGAATAAAATATGACTTGAGTTTTATCTCCACACTATCCTGTGCTGAAAGCTGCTGACTGCTGGAGAACAGCTCTAAAACCATTTTCTTTTCAACAATGCACTTGAAATTCAATTAAACCACACACCAGGGCTTCATTGTCTTTTGGTCTAGTTTCTTAATAACAGAAAAAATGAGGTGTTGACCTTTAAGAGATTTCATTCAGACTCAGAGAAAGACAAAGACAATACCACACGTGGAGGTTTAATGGAGAGAGGAAAATAAAGCACTAATGCTGTCGCAGTGATTCATGACTGAATTACCATGGCCACTCTCTCATTTTATCTCTTCATAACAAGCAACAGAATAATGTCTTAAGCATGACTCCTATATGGAAACTCACCTGTCTCATACCCATTCATGTAACACAATAACAATTATATACAGAGTAAATAGCAAAAGCAGCTACAGCCATTTTGTGCACAGGCTAGAATAGTAAGGGCTGTTTTTTTGAGTGACCCAGAGGTAGATGGACATTGCTCTTGCAGGTACCGTGTTGTATTGCTTAAAATTTCATGTCTAATGATATTTGTCCCCCTACAGATGACAGAGGGTCGTCAGTGTCAGATCCACCTCCTTGATGGCAGGAAGCTGGAGCTGCTAGTTCAGGTAGCTGATTCTTCCTATTTGCCTCCTAAAGCCTTTAAAGATGTCATTCACTCCTGATAACTGATATTTTCTGCATAATTAAAGTTCAGCTTATTAGAGAATTTGGGCTCACACTGTTAGTACATAACTTTTTTCTCTGCTGTTTATTCTCGTCGGATTGATAGTTTAAGTTTTGGGGGGTTTCGCTGAAATGTTCAGCCTTTGAGTTAACACTGGATTGTTCTGTGTGATTTCTGTTTATTGATAAACAGCCCAAGCTGTTGTCCCTGGAGCTGTTAGATTTGGTGGCCTCCCATTTCAGCCTGAAGGAGAAAGAATACTTTGGTCTGTGCTTTGTAAACGACACGTACGTATATTTTCTGGTCTAACTTTGAACTTAATGACAAAAATGAAGCTGTGTACTATTATTCTTTATTTATCCAATTAAATAATTTTACAATGTCTTAAAGAAACCTGTGATAGAGAAGAAAAAAAGTATAATAGCATTGCTCCAATACAGTTATTTCTTTCCTGCTCAGTGGCCAGAATAACTGGCTCAAGCTGGATCGTAAAGTCCTGGACCATGACTTCTCCAAGATTGGACCTTTGGAGCTCAGATTTCTTGTGAGGTGAGTGCTCTGGCTTTAAAACAAGCAAAATACACGTACAACTGTGCTGTCTGTGTGACTTCATCATATACAGTACAATGAACCCCAATTAAGTGTATCAAGAGCTGCACAGCCTTTGAGTCTCGTCTCAACCAGTAGGTGGCAGTAATGTATAAGTATCGCTATAACTATGGATCTATGGAGCATGATAAAGTCTTGAATCTTTTGTGGCACTGGAACATAAAAATATTATTTGCTCATATTTCAAAGTAACCATAAATGTTCTTTGCAGGTTTTATATCGAGAGGATCACCTTCTTGAAAGATAACTCCACAGTGGAGCTGTTCTTCTTAAATGCTAAATCTTTAGTGTTTAATGTAAGTTCTTTTTAAGATTTTATCAAACTTGTTTTAATTTACTTTTACCTCTTTCTGAAGCTTCCCAGTCTGCATACATCACTACACATCATACCTTTATTAGAGGATGCAGGTTCAACTATCCATCTGTCATCATTACTTATGGTTTAAAGAAATATTTATCTAGATATTTTCATGACTTCATCTCTTATTTTAACAAAAATACTTATAGTTTGTTGAATAAATGTCTCACTTATTCACTTGAAGCATTTCATATTCACATTTCCCAATGTCTTATACTGCTACACGTTTTAAAATAAATATTCTGTAGTTTACCAGTAATCTACAATATGCAGCAGTAAGTGCACTTGAAAAAAAGGGGGATTTTATTTAATTGTATGACACACAACCATACATGTGTGCCATGAACATTTTCTCAGATTTTAGGGTGTTATGCAGTTTTTACGAGATGCAGAGCCGGCCCAAGGCATAAGCGAACTAAGCGCCTGCTTTGGGCCCCGCGGCCAGAAGGGGGCCCCCAGCAGCAATAAAAATTTATACTGTAGTAGGTGTGTAGATGATCAACAATCAATATTATTGGCAGAAATAGAGGGCCCCAAAATCTAATTTTGCTTGGGCCCCATTGAGGCTTGGGCCACTCTGGCTTAACTTACCCCTGATCAAATGGGTCAACTTACCCCCATTTTCCTCTAGTGCTACACGTTTTAAAAATAAATATACTGTAGTTTATCAGTGATTTACAATATGCTGCATTAAGTGCACTTAAAAAAGTTGTTTATTTTATTTTATGGTATGATTCAAGACCATACAAGTGTGCCATGAGCATTTTTTCGGCAACAGCCTACAACTCAGGGTGCAGACTTTTTAATGGGCTTCTAATGCGGCTTTTACGACATGTTTTAATGAGATAGATTTCAGTGAAGACATCATGATTTCATTGATTTTTGAGAAACTGGAAGGTCCGAATAGAATCTTATAATAGGCTTTTCTTTTGTGTGTTTATTATCTCAGATTTTCAGCTTAAATGGAAAATAAAAAAGCAAGGGTACGTGTGGAGCGAGGGTTGAAGTGCTATAATTTGTAGTAAGAGCGTCTGAAAGCACCACGTGATCAAGCGTAGCGGTGCAGTTTTTTCGCTGGGGCAGCAGACTGATCACCATGGGAGACAGAGACAGTTGAACCTGCTTACGGACCGTACCACTATTCCGGTGGGGGGGAGTAGCCCTGGGAAGGAGCTTTAGCGGGGCTTTTGGTGGTAACACAGCGTGTTTCTTATCGGGAAATGTAAAGATACTCGAAACACTCTTAGGCTGTTTTAAAAACGCTTCACGGGTCCGTTTTAATGTCCGTGTTTCCTCAGCAGATTTGGTTCAGTCGGTAACGCTGGGACCGGGGCACGGGACGGGAAGATTTTTTTTCCTCCCTCTCTCTTAAGTCAAGTGTTGGGATAGGCTGCACTTTGTGTGGTCGTGTTTTTCGTCAAACCGATGCTAATTTTGAATTTTTCCAACAACAGGAGACCATCGAAGTGGAGAGTGGGAATGTTTTCAAACTAGCCGCATTCGCATTGCAGGTAAGAGAGAGTTTGTCGCAGGACTGAAAACACGTCCCTGACCGCTGAACGTGAATGAAGTGGGTCGAGTACGCAACATTTGAGAACAGTTGTCTCCTGAGGTTGACTTGGTCACAGCTATTGTTAAATAAGTTGACCCTTATTGGAGACCGTGTACCAATTAAATGATAAAATGTTTAAAGACATAGTAAAAACTTGTGGTTCTTTTTTGGAGGAATACATACAGACGAGCTAAATGTGTTTTAATCGTGTCACATTACCCCTGTGAAGGTGGTGCATGGAGCTAACATTAGCACATTGAGTAATTCAGTGTCTTCTTCCAGTTGTTGTTGCAACTTTATGTTTGACTTTATTTTTCTGTTTCTTTTAAAGGAAGCCAAAGGGGATTACACCAGGTAAGAAGTCCATTTATATTAGAGTTGTAACCAAAAAAGCTGCATGCTCTGAAATCTTATTTTTAAAAGTGTATTGGCTTACACAGATGTCCATAACCTATTTGTCCAGTTGAGTCAAAGCAGACTCTGATTTGTTAGATACTTTGGTTAGTTGTTAGTGTAGTTGGTAAATATTCAACTGGACCCACACAGGTTTCATTCTTTGCCTCATAGTCTTAAGTTAATTATTACCTGGATTTGATTGTGTGACATTGAACTGAACCCCTGTGTCAATTAGCTATACGCATAACTGAAACCTCTCAGATCAAATCCCTGAGGGCTGTTTTATACAGTCTGCTTGTGAAGTAAGCTTCACCTTTTTGTAGTTTACTCAAAACATTGCAAACTTCTTGCACTTGTACTTGTTGTGATTACACCTCTACCCATTCATGACAAACAGACTCTCTTTGACACTCATACACACACATTAACCGTTAGTCCAAAACCACCAACACTGTTCACTCTAGCTTGACCTCCAGAGAAGAGACAGGGTTTTTTATTTATTCTTTATTTTTTTTGGCCAGTGATGGAAGTGAAGGTCTTTGGCTGTGATTATTAAACACTGCTCCGTTTGAGTGAGTGGCTGAGCAGGTTAAAGCAGCACAACCTGTGTGTGTTGTCCCAGTGTATCGCCTCTCAGGGCCTCTCTGTCCATTATGTGAACTCAAAGATTTGTGCATGTATGGTCTGAATGGCAAAGCAAAACATGCTCCATGTTCTGTTCTATTGTTCTGTTGCCAAAAAGGAAAAAAAAAAACCCTGACTAAAACCCTGACTAAGTCTGCTTGTGCTTGTTAAACCCTTTATTACTTACAGGCATGGATGACCTGGTTTTAAAAAAAAGTATTCTTCACTCTAAATTCAGTACAAACTTTATTGTTTTAAAGAGTGTTTCCACATTTTAAAAAAAGGACATTTTCAACAGTGTTTGGATTTTACAACTAGTGTGCTCATGCGGGTGTGGGGATGGGCTGTACTTTGTTCTAGTTTTGAAAGGCACAATAAAGGACTACCTGCCAACAAATATGATACTATCAGCCAGGATAAGAGAGTTGGAGCTGCTTTTGTCTGCTTCCCTGCTAGTTGTTTTAACTGACATATGGGATATAGTTTTTTTTTAGATTAAAGAAAAAACATTGTGATAAATAGAGAAAAAGAGAGATGGCTTTTCAAAATGGTAATATTTTTCATTAAATTCAGCTGTGTTCAGTAATCCCTATTTCTTTGGGGAAACAGGCCTAGTTTAGTTCTCCATAAACTGCATAATATAGATACTGCTACTACAAACTGTTTTATCAAAGAGCCATGGATCAGTGAGATTAGCCATGGATGAGTCAGGGAGTACTTCCTCTAGTACAGACGGTTGCCTTAAGAAGGATGAGCCTAACGTACTGTCCAATGGTAGACGACTTGGCAACAGGAGGACTGCTGTAGTCACTGTATCAGTGTGCTGTTGTTGGCCAGCCCCTCATCTGTGAACTGAATTAATCAACAGTTATTAGCTTTCATATCCTATTTGCGTAGGAGGTCCTTTCTACGTCAATAATTGCGTCTTGCCTTGCTCTCCTAATATTTATTCACACAATATTATAATTGCTCATCAGCTGCAGGTTTAACTGGTGCTCTGTTCAATGATCAGCTGTCCTCTGGGAGTCAGTGAAAGGAGCTGAAGAAGACTTGTGAAATCTGTTTTAAAAAGCAGAATGGTTTTGAAACTTGAACAGTGATCTACAGACTCTCTCTTGACTCCAGTATAAACTGTTTATCAGCTGCTTATTATCTTAAAAAATTCTTCTATTTGTATCCACACAAGCCGGTATTACACTGGCACAGTAGTAGTCATCAGTTCTATTTGCAGGTGTAGTCTGTAGTTTGTGGTCCATTCACAGCAAAGACTCTCTCATTGTACTCCCTTTACGGTAACCACACCGCAGCTCCAGTGGAATAGCTGACATATGGGTGTTATCTCTCCCACACTGGGTAGGCTACACTGGGCTGGGCTGTACCGGGTGTAGGAATTGCCCCCGTGCTCCAGGCTGTGGGGAGATAACAGACGCAGTAATGAATTCCAGATTGCTGACAGCGCAGCACGGCTGCATAGTAGATCACCCAGACAACACCAAATCCCAGCTTCCAATAAATGGTGTACTATGAAACATGCAGCGAAGCGCCATGGCAGCAAAACCCAGTCAAGCTAAGCGAGGTAGTTACTGTGTAGTGATTTAAGCAGCCTACCTTTGCAGCAGCTTACCTTTATTTCTGCGCAGTGAGCTGGTTCATAAAGCAATTCAATTTGCTTTTCACGTTGTCATGTTTCTCGACCTGATGTCTCAGTCACCTCAAGTCAAAAAGCTATTTCCCTGAAACAACCCAGTACTGATCTTGTTATGACGAGGTCACTGGTATAGCTAGTACCTTTTATGTGGGTTTTCTTTATTATTTTTTTGATAAGGTCAGAGCTGAGTTTTGTTTTTAAAGCACCAGGACTCTTACAGTATGTCTCAGCACAAAGTAAGGCTGCCAAAGGCTTGTGAATGGCTTTTGTTCAGGCCTCCAGTGAATTGGACAACCAAGCCAAAACTCTGTTTGTCCAGCAAATAACTGCAGAGTAGTTCCTCCTACATGATGTTCGAGCAGCTCATGGTTCGCCCTGAAAGACCACAACAGTGTCAAACACCACAAGTCGTCCAGATACATAATAACACAACTCAACATTTATGTACAGTTTGTGAAGGAGGGACTCTTACTTTCAGTGTCTGACTGATACAGAAAACTGCTGTTAGGAGGCGATGATCCTTCTCTCACTGTACAAACACTCTTGAGATCATGCTGACTCAGATTTTTTTATTGAGCATCTGGTGGGTTGGAAGTATGGAACAAATTAAGCTGCATAACTGTTTGCTTCACAGTAACAGAAACTAAGTCTCTATCATGTTGCGTTCCTAAGACAAGTATTATGAATACCAATAAATGAGAATTTGGAGACAAACATGCCGAATCTGCGAATAATCGTTGAAACCGGCCACAGCTGCAAGGTTTCAAAAAGGTGTGGGGATTGGCTGCGTGGATTTGCTGAATTGCAACATCCTGGAGGAACCACTGAAGGGTCTGCATGTGCTTACAGACTTGTGCCTCGCCAGGCCTTAGTAATAAAGTCTGGCAAGACATGAATAAGGTTTTGAGTCTAGTCTTGCAAAGCACTGCAACTCTTATGATTTATCATGCGGAATATGATGAAGATAAAATCAGTTTCCTGAAACTGCAGCTTTTCTGCAGGTAAGCAGACAGAAACTGTTCCTGTGAAGCCTTATCGTGGAATTTAAACCACACCATAAAAACACAAAGATTTTCTCAAGTCCACAATCAAGGCTTTAACAATCCTTTGGTTGCCAGAAATCAAGAGTTTTTTATTCATCGAGGAGTTGGTGTCAGCCTATAACAGTATTTTCTTTCCCGTCATCAGTGTGACTAAAGTATTTGCTTTGTGTGTCAGAGATAAATAACACAGATGAAGTCCTGGAATGTGTGCTTGAGAAGACTGTTATCTTTGTGAAATTTAAACAAGCTGTTTATGACAAATATATGGTTTTTTTTTCTTTCCAGTGCTGAGACTGCAAGATCAGACCTCAAACTGCTCCCAGTTTTGCCCACCAGAGCATTAAGGGAGCACCCATCTCTAAATTACTGGTAAGTCGTCAATAATTGGCTATCAGGTATGATCACACAAGGCCTAATTGATATCATTGCCCCAACAGTAGCACAGAAGGTGCTTAAAAAAACTGCAGTCAGGTGGCCTCAAAGGCAACAGCACTTGGGTGTGCTCGCAGTGATTTATTTTTCTTAAACTGCTGTGGTCGGCATCAAAGTGCCCTCATCTGTACTAGATACTTGGCAGACAGTTTTGACTCAGATTAGGCTGCTGATTATTGCCAGGATCAGGTTCATTAAGTTTGGCCATTATACCTGAGAAAGCAGAGGGAGGCGCTGACAGCCACTGCCTCTCTAAAGAATTACTGTGTGGTTCGTCGGTTCTCTTTTTTTACTCCCGTGGTTATCCTTCCTGCCCCCATGGTCCTCTGAGTCTGAGGTTCCTGTAGCCTCTAAAGCAGTTTGAACTACATCAGTCTCATTTCCAAATTAAAATGATTGTCTTGCGGTGTACGGGGGAGTTCGACCAATTCGGCCTCCCGACATCCCTTTTTGTCAGTTCAGCTTCATTGCCTTCTCGCTCTGCTATTAAATGGGTGATTGCAGTGGGAAATAAATGGGATGCATTTGCTGTAGAGTTAGATAAGAGCCATCAGTAAGCCAGATTGCATTTTCTGCAAGAGCGGGCTGGATGCCAAGGAGAAAAGGGGCCCTCCAATAATCCCCCTGTGGCCGAAACGTGTAACACTTGAGAGAATATTCATTAAGGGTTTTATCTGTTCATTCACAGCGAGGACAAAGTGATTGAACACTACAAGCAACTGAAGGGACTGACCAGAGGACAAGCCATTGTGAAGTAAGTAATAAAAAAAACAACTGTTTTATTTATCATTTAAAGTGAGGTTAGTTTGGCAGCTACCGTATTTTTCGGACGATGGGGCGCACCGGATTATACGGCGCACTGTGAATTAACATGTCTGTGTTCACACATAAAGCGCACCGGATTGTAAAGCACATTAAACATTGATTGGTTTATTGTTGCTAGTGCGTACTCCAGGCCCGGGCTGCCTTACATGAATGGACTTTTAATTTAGACATTACAGTCAGGCAGTGTTCAACACTGCTCAGGGGTCCTGTTACGAGGCCGATCAGGTAGTGACACATATTTTTTTTTCCTGGGGTGGGAGGGAAAGGTCCCGCCTCCTTTGCCTCTGATTGGCTAGAAGTGCTGGGCTCCGATTGATCATCCTTGTGGTTGTGAAATGTCATCGTCTGTCAGTTTATGGTTAGGGTTATGGAGATTCAGAAGTGCGATAATCCTCTGTAATGTTCTGTTCGATGTACAAAGCTGACAGCCCTCGCTCGGCTTGAGCGTGTGTTGACGTTTCACAGCCATAAGGAATAACCAATCAGAGCCCAGCTTTTCTAGCTGGAGGCGGGACCTTCCCATAACATCCTACAAAAAATATATAATGTAATGCTCCGAATATGCATTGAGCGGAGTGGCTTCGTTGCTTATGAAAGTCGTACATACACATTTCGACAGATTTTTGGGCGCATTGTACCACATGAAATTGGTCAGTAAGCACAACAAGTAATCATACATAAGGCGCACTGGATTAAAAGGCACACTGCAAGTTTTTAAGGAAATCTAAGGATTTTAAGGGCGCCTTATAGTCAGAGAAATATGGTAACTTCTGTACTTTATACATTTTCTATTATGCTACAGTTTTAAAGCTCTTACACTATAAGCTCCTCGTCTAGTCTGTACTGTAGTAGCTTTTGCTGCGAGAGGTGGTCATCTCATACCAGTTTGTGCCATTAAACAGAGGACGATTCCTGAGAGTAGGTAGTCTGTCAGCTTTTAGAGGATAGAAGTCCTCGACAGGGTTTATTCCAGGTAATGCTTGACGGTGATGAAGGGAAAGAGACTCAATTCCTATTGACCTGTCTGTCTCTCTCTTTTTTGAAGATATCTGGCCCTGGTGGAATCTCTGCCGACTTATGGAGTGCATTATTACCCAGTGAAGGTGAGTGCGTTGTCCTGTCCTGTGTCGTCTAGAAGTTGAAGCTTTGAAGAACATCATCAAACATCCAGGAAACCCCTACAGCATGTTTGGTCAGGCCTAGTTACCCCCTGATACTCTCCTAGCTTTCTTTGCGTCTATTAACTTTACTGGCTAAATCCCAATTCAATCAAGGTGTCTGCACAGATCAAAAGCCTTGCATTCATTTGATCTCTTCAAGTGTTGAATCGTCGTGTGAGCCTCAGAGTGGTAATTTATTCAGCAACAGGCTTGTTTAGCTTTTTTTACTTGCCAATAAAACAACCTTTAATAAGCGGTGATGTGTGTGTGTGTGTGTGTGTGTGTGTGTGTGTGTGTGTGTGTGTGTGTGTGTGTGTGTGTGTGTGTGTGTGTGTGTGTGTGTGTTCTTTCATCCAGGACAAGCAAGGACTACCGTGGTGGCTTGGAGTCAGCTACAAAGGGATCGGGCAGTACGATTTACAGGATAAACAGAAACCGAGAAAAGTAGGTGTTCCTCCTCTCAAACCTAATCTATCTTCTATTATTCTTTAAACAGAACTCACCTACCTCTCTAACAAACTCTGATTTGTTTTGGACTTAAGTTAGAAAACTGAAAAATATTGAAAGTTATATAGACAAAAAAAAATTTACAGCTTAACTAAAGGTGGACTTCCGTTAATAAATCTCGTTGGACTTGTATGAAGGTAATTTAATACTCAGTAAAAGATATATGCCATGCTTTTCAGAATAAGAAGAATATCTTTTTTTTTCCTTTATCCTGCATTTTATTAGTTTGTTCATGGTCTATTCACGTTATAAATAAGTGGATTAAGATTTTGATTCCCATGCCAGCCAGATAAAGAGAGAGACAGTATTTTCCATCAGCAGTTTGTGCTGTTTGCAGCCAAGGCTCTAGAGGAATTAGCAAATAAGACACAAAACCAGCACTGGCTGAGAGAATAGTCATGATGATTACAAAACAGTCCAGCGTTCAAACTTTAAATACTTCACCTACACTAAACACAGTGTTGATCCTTTATCTTTGAAATTGTGATTTGAGTGGGAAATTAGCTTTGCAGGAAGTTTTTTTTAGACTGTTGTTCATAACTGATAAAGTTACATCGAGAGTTTGGTATCAAATCTGTCTTCTGCTCTGGGAGCAAGACTCTGAAATGAGTCATTTCACTCTGAAAACAGCCTATTCAATGGCTTTCTGAAACAGTTCTTCACATCATTCATTACAGACATAATAAAAATTTCTGTTTCATGATCATTTTGATGATTATGTATCACTTAGTTTCAGAAGTTCCCTGTATAAAATCACAATATCGTTCTCTATAATAGTTTTACTCTGTTATCTTTTGTTGCCTTTTGAAACAGAAATTCCTTATTTTATGAAATTATATCGCACATGATAAAGACAAACAAAAAGCATAGTGAGTTAACTTTAACAGTTAAGAGGAATCAGTGAAAGTGAAACAAATTTAGTCTCTCTTTGGAAGTCAGTATCAGCCCCAAATAGCCCGACTCTCCCTAATCACAGCCCCTGTCTTTGTGGATCCTCAGTTTTGCAGCATGGTCCCTCTGACACAGTGGAGCTAATGTAACACCCCCTCCATGTCTCTTCTTAAGAACAGCATGTTATGCTGGTCCAGCTGTCCCTCTCAGCCAGCACAGATGCAGACACACACAGATAACAGCTAGCATAGTTTTAGAAAGCAATGCGCCTTACCACTCCACCACACTGGTGGAAAACAGGTTTCCTCTCGGCTTTGTGGTCCCTATCTGAAGATGCTTGATGCACTTTCTGCCCAAAACTAGCGGTCTGAGTTGACTTGGCACAATCCACCAGCTAAGACTTAAAACCAGCATCTTAAAAATGAGAAAAACACTAATTTGTAGTTTAACCGCTGAGTAGTTCTTCAAGGTTGATGGGATTTGGTGTTCAGTGGACTAATTGCATGTATCTGTGGATGGTACTCATGCTCTGCTTACCTTCCCTCTCATTTGTCGGCTGTTTAAGCATCTCATCAAGGTGTTTGTCCACACACCCTTTCATCCATGGAGGAAACCTGTTGACACAGTATGGTGTGCTTTTTCACCGAGGCACTAACTAGCCCAGCCAGCCACAGTGTTTCTCTTCCCATCCCTGGTGGAGGGTATTATTAAGGTTCTCTGTGGGAAACAGCAGGCCTCTGTGACTGCAGTTTGCCTCCAGCCAGGCAGGCAGGCGGGTGGCTTCATGTTTTGAGTTTCAGGACAGTAATGAGGGTGTTGGAAAGGCTGAGAACTGTTTTTTTCCCTCTCTAACTACTCCGTGCAAGAAGGCGTCAGAACCACAAGCGGTTTTTGACAGTATCCAGCCTTTTTTTGGAACCCTTTCTTCTAATCAAGAGAGAAGAGAGACCACTATATCTAACCAGAATTGTTTTTCAACCCAGCCCATCTGTTCTTGCAGGACAGCAGAGAGTGAGATGGCTCATCTCCACAATCGGACACAAAACAAGAGCAGACTACACAGAGCTGCAGAGTTTGATGGGTAATTTTATTGGAGCAGGATATTTGACAAAGTTTGAAACTGAAGGTTCAAATTTTTAATATCGAATTAAGAAAAGAAATCAACCTTTTTAAACCATTTCAAAATATATTCAGGGTTTCCTCATGTAAGCTTGGGATATCTGGTAGTCTTAGATGAGTTTAAAACAAAATCTTACAAGGAGCGCTGTCTCGTGCTGTTGGGTCATAGAAATAGGTGAGGGTCTTTCTTTTGGGGTTTAGTTTTGCACTTGTAAGATTCATCTAATCTCTGTGAGAATGTGGAGCCTCAGCTGTGTGTTTACAGTCCTGCCTCTGATGTTTCTGCAAAACCAAGCACAATTTGAACCAGATACTTGAACACCAGATATGACACCATCATGGGGTTCAGCGTTTGAGTACAAGGGTGTGATGTTGGCAGAATTTTGTGATGAAGCTGTTGTCCTGGGTTCAAGAAAGGAAACGGTGTCTGTTATTTTGTGGGGGTTATTTTGATGTTATTCTGACCCTAAAGTTGAACATCATAAATGTGGAGCAGCATCTATAGCATTGTTGTCTGCCTTCAGATATCACTACAACCCTGAGTGTGTGCTTTCAAAAGGTACAGAGCTGTGAAGTTGACCCAGTTTTGACCAAGTGATTGCATGTCTCATACTGAGACAAGGACAGCGATCCAATAAAATTGTCTAACCACGCTATTATTGTAACGATCTGTCTCATGGGCTTTTGTCTTGTTGGTAGAAGGATACTTTATAAGACCAGATGCTGTTCCTCATAAATAATGAGCCTGCAGAGCAAAAAATAAAATATATTTACTATAAGTGACACCATCATTCTCTGCCATACAAAATAGGGTGTCCTGACACAACTTTTTTACTTCCGATACAGTACCGATATTGGAGCCTTCGGTATCGGCCGATACTGATATTGATCTGATATTGGCACAAACTTGTGTATGACAAGTTTTGCACTCAGCTGCAATGTCTTTTTCCGACTTTAACGAAAAATGCTGCCACACAGCCGACGTCAATGCTACTCCTTGCTACTTCGTTAGTACCTTCGTACTCACTGTTGTTGTGATTTTGTGGGCAGAGCTTGCTGGATCAGGGCGCTGCGAGATAGAGGTGCCAGAGTGGAGTCTGGAATGGACTGCTTGTATCGGAGTGCTGATATCTGAGATTTTAGATGCAGGCCGATATAATCTGATTTTTTTTTTTTTTGGCTGATATCGGACCGATATCCGATATCAATATGGTACTGGGACAGCCCTAATACAAAACAAGATCTAAAAGAGCTCAGAAGTTCTGAAGTGTATTGGCATAAAAAGTTAAAGCTGAATACAAATTTAACCTTAAATCCTTTCCCAAGTTGTTGTTTTTAACTGAAGTTTTACAAAAATCCAAACAGGTGGTTACACACAGGTTCATCTCATTGTTAATGTGTTTCAAACACAGAGCTGTCAGCCAGAGCTTGAATGTGACGTGTTCTAAAAAAGGGTGGGGCAGATCTTTTTCTGTACACACGTCTTAGTCAGTGCTTTGACACATTTTCACTCATGTGTGGTTTCACACACTCCTGGCCTGAGGGTCCTTGGGTTGTTTGGCTTTGAGCTGGATGTGGATCAGACTCTTCTGGATCATTAATGAGACTTTCCACAAAAAAAGAGATGTAGATCAGTCAAGTATCTGAAGTTCTGTGTGTTTTGTGATATGAGTGATACACGGTGTGCTTACAGTTTTTTTTAGAAATTGTTCTGCTTACTTATGATTCGTAATGGTGAGTCACTCACTCTGTGAACTTTTTTTTTTACATGATTTCTTCAAGTGTTTCCCCTTTGAGACATCCACTCACACTCCTGAAATGAAGAGATTAAGGAGTGTCACATCCTTGAAATATTTAGGGAGTGACTTGAGAAGCAGTCACAGGGTAGTCCTTTATCAGTTTCATCTCAGTGTTGGCACAAAGGTTTCCAGACTCTTTAACGGGGGAATGATTCTGTGGTAGTGTGGGACCTTTGTTATAATGTAAATGATGCTTTAGATAGTATCGGGGGTTGGGAGGCTTTCACTGTATGGCCTCCTTACAAAGGGGTGAGATATTTAGAAGTGTCAGAGCCATGGGGTTGCTGTTGTCTCCAAAGAACCACAGTCTTCAGAAGACTGATACCAACTGCAGAAGTGGCTGAATGTGAGAATAGATCAGTCTCACTCAGTGTTGTTGTAATCAGAGTAGAAATACAGCAGCAAAGCATGAGAGTAATAATCTATACTATCTGCACTGAGAAGTGTCTTCTGTTGGTGTTTCCTGGTCAGATGAAAGCAGAAAGCCTCTGCCATTAATGATTAGACTATAGTAATAAATGCCTAACTTGTTTTTTCCTTGAGAGCCAGCTGGGTGTAGTAGATTCTGCGATAACAGCAGAGGACTCCCCAGACTGAAGTCAAGTGTTCAAACTCTGAATCTGATCGATCATTTTATGGTCTGTGTTGGGAATTGGATTAAAGGTTAAATGTCTTCAAAAAAAACAAACATACACTGGCCAGGAAATACTTCAGAGCAACTTGCTCATCTGGTCTGGTTACAAAGGGTTTGACATGTGTGGGAGACAGACGGAGAGAGGGAGCGGGAGAGTGCAGGGCCTCCAGGACAGCAGGTATCTGTGATGTCAGAGGAGGAGGAGGAGTTCCTAAGGGGCGTGACCAGCTTAGCTGAAACTCATGCAACACCTATCTGGCTTCAGACAGACAAGAGGGAGTATTGTTCAAGGAAGCTCTACCCCTGTGGGAAACTCGGAGTCAAAGGATTCAAAACAAACCGAACAGTATTCAGGGGGGATTCGACAAGAAAAAGAAAACTTGACGGTAAGCCTTTTGTATCCGTGTATTACCTGTTGATGTGATACAGAGAGCCTTTGTGTTTTAATGTGGGATTTTCCCCCTTTTTACCTCATTTTTGATGTGGTATTGCACCATCTTTGTGTGATCTAGATCTTTACAGACTCTCATACTCAAGCGTAACAGTTATTAGTTGTATTTGGAGCAAAAATGGCCACTAAATGGGTCTCAATGCAGATGCGCTAGCTTGTGAGAAACGTCACGACCCCTCAGCGGCGCCGAATCGTTTGTTTGCTCAAAGTGACAGCAGAGTGGAGTTATTCACATGTCTGTCTGGTGATCCCAGTATGGTGCAGCAGACATCATATTCCAACACAGAAGGCCTGGCTTTGTTTACCTCTGCAGCCGAATGGCACAATAATCCAGCCTGCACATTTGTCGCAAATTTGCAGTTGCCTGAACGTACACCTTGGCGCCTGGCCTGCTCGCTTTTGCTGTTTCTTAGTTTCCGCTTCTTGCAAGCGGACCAGAACGTACTGGCAGAACAAGGTTGGCAGAAAATAGGCTGAGTGTTGTAGCTGAAACCCTGTGAAGTACTTTAGACTGTGAAGCACCTGCCGTCCTGCAGAGATGTACCCGGATAAAGAGAAGCTTCTGGTTTTTTTTTTTCTTTTTTTTTTTTCTGACTAAATTTGAGCAAATGTGTGTTATCATCACAGCCGAATGCCCTCTCTTTTTACGTACTGTTTGTCCACATTCCTTTCCCAGTACTGTGTTGGGTTGTGTACTTAATCAAGAGTAATGTCCCCCTCCCCCATTTCTCCCTCCCTCCCTCTCTCTTTCTCTGTTTGCAGTTGTTTCAGTGGAAGCAGTTGGAGAATTTGTATTTCCGTGAGAAGAAATTTGCAGTGGAAGTGAATGACCCGCACAGGTCAGAGCAGGCTAAATCACTCCCTTTTTCTCCTTATAGTAGGTTCATTACCTGTTAGTCATGTGTTCCCATGTTAGTCAGGCTTCCCTCTTGTGCACCTTACACACCGTGAAGGCCATCTGCTCCTTCATAACTGTCAGCTTATCTTATCTTAACCCATCTTCTAAATGTCACAGTGTTGTCCTTGTTTATGTATCATCAGTGGTTTGGTTCTGGGTGATGCTTTGGACCAGATAACCCTCTAAAAAGCAGCACAAGCACTGAATGTTTGTCTTTTATCTCTTAAAAGAAAAACAGTGACCAAGCGAACTTTCGGACAGACTGGTCTGGTTATTCACACGTGGTATGCAAGCCACTCTCTGATTAAAACCATCTGGGTGATGGCCATCAGTCAACACCAGTTCTACCTGGACAGGAAGCAAAGCAAAGTGAGTGTCTGTTTTCTTTTCACGCATTCAGTCAACTTTGTTCACTTTTCCCTGCTTCAGGTTTAATGAGAGCTGCTCCTGGACTTGTTTGATGGTTATGCTCAAGCTTTACTCGGGTTACTCCTCTGTAGCCGACACACCTTAGGTTCAGTGTCAGGTGTTTGTTAAAGGGAGGCCGATTAGTGAAAAGATATAAATGCCGGACTTCTAGTATTCAAGTTATTGTTTGTCGTGCTGTGAGAAAAGGGAAAAGCTCTCAGACAGACACACACCAGACTTATTTTAACTGCAGTTTGAAGGTAGACTGAAGCTCCACTTTTCAGATTGTTGTTCAGCCTGCTGTAACAGTGACTGACAACCATGTGATACTTGCATGAGCGCCATCCCTTTGGTTTTTGACCTTTGTAAACAACTTTGCAGACAGATATCCCAGACCTTCAGTTTCTGTATCCATTGATCAGTTCTAGGGCTGGGAGATATGGCCTCAAATCAATATCACAATATATTGAGCAGCTCACCTCGATAACGATAAATGGACGATAACTACTCCACAAGCTGCTCACCCCCTCCCACATTAACTTTGTCAACTTCTGCCACCGCATCAGCTGCTACAACTTTTGAACCGTCCTCCATCTCCTCACCTGTCTTTACCTCTGACATAGGACAGCATCTTAAAGAGACATGAGACCATAGCCTACCTACACACATCCAAAACCAACTTTTATTTTTTTATTTATTTATTTTGACACTAAATATATTGAAATGGGCAAAATGACGTCGGTTATTGGCGTAAATTTCAGTATCGGTAAATTTTCAGTTTATCGCCCAGCCCTACTCAGTTCTTTGTTGATAAAGTTGTAGCACAAATTCTCTGATCATAGTTAAACATGCAGTCATAGGTAGCTGAATGTGCTCTGAGTTAAAGTTCTTCAACTATTGCCTTATAGTAGATGAATTATCTTGGTAAGAATAAGAATAACTTTATTTATCCCTGAAGGGAAATTCAATGGTAGTAGTAGCTGATGTGAGAGAAATGCACAGTTCAAATGGAGCCATCTCTACTCTGGTGCGCTACATCTCAAACAAAATGCATGGATTGTATTCATTACTGCTTTTTTCCTGTTTGTCCAATACCAATATTTTTTATCCCCTCTCTCACCTTCAGTCAAAGATGACCACAACCAGGAGTTCAGGTGACATTGCTGTGGACCTCACAGAGATCTGCGCCCCTCGGATCAGTAAACTCTCCAGCATTGAGAGCAGAGATCAGCCCATTATGGCCAGTAACGGTAGCCTTATTTCAGCCGGTAAGCAGGGAGCCAGTCAGCCTACAGCTTCTGTGCCACATCAGATCAATGAATAATGTAATGTTTTTTTGGATACTAACTAATCGGCCTTGTGTGTCTCCAGGTTCAGCAGACTCTGAAGCCAACGAAGAACAGAAGAAAGAGAAAATTGCCGAGCTGAAAAAGAAAGAGAAGAACCTCCAAGACACTCTGACGCAGAAACTGGAGGAGCTGAAGAAAATCTGCATGAGAGAAGCTGTGAGTGACTTTCTTACTCTGTGATTTTCAACTGTGGCTACAAAACATCCGCACAGCTAACTTGTGGCTGTTTTTGCAGGAACTTACAGGCAAACTGCCCAAAGAGTACCCTTTGACGTCAGGTGAGAAGGCTCCGCAAGTAAGACGTCGTGTTGGGACAGCCTTTAAACTGGATGACCTCTTCCCCTATGATGAGGTTGGTATAGCCGGAGCCGTGTTTTGCTGTGGTGTCCTATTTTAATTCTGCCGTTGCCGTTAACAGTCTGTGTGTGTGCTCCTGCGTTTCGCACTGTAGGACCCATATCTGCGGAATCTGGAGAGCAGGTTTGCCTTGCAACAGAAGATTGTGGAAGCAGCACTTAAGTTGTCCAATGAAGTTGACCTCTGCAAGACAGTGAAGAAGAAGAGGAGAAATAACTGTCTGGATGCCATGAGGAAGCTGGAGGAGATCGAGAAGGAGATAAACAACTACAGAATCAAGACCGGACAGAAGCCCACCCAAAGAGCCTCCCTGATTTTAGCAGGTACATGTCCAAAAAAACGATCCAAACTGTGTGTCAGGTTGTTTAAAAAGTGGATTATTAACGCAGACCCCTTTTTTTTCCTGTTCCTTCACCAGATGAGGCCAACCCTTCAGAGCTCAGCTCTCTATCAGACAGCCTCACTCTGGATGACGGTTAGTGCCCGGTCTTCACTCCCTCCTCCTTTCACTGCATTTCCAATCATCTCCACTTTGTTCCTAATAAATTTTCTTTCCTCAGATGATGAGCTCCTTTCCCAGAGGCAACGGTCCAGATCGGTTCAGTACTCCCCGAGACCACACCATGCAGAAACTCTGGATATCCATTATAACCACGACAGACGGCCCTCTGCGAACGACCAGCATGCAGACAGCAGGTAGACAGTTTCACCCACAAAAAAGAAGGCATCATCGATGTCTTCTTATTTGTGTGAGTTGTTTTTTAAGAGGCCCTGAGCACGGAGCTAGTGCAGACATGCAGAGTAAATCTAGAGCTACATTCCTCCCAGTCACCTCCTCTTTTCGTTTCCTACTTCACCAGCAATCTATCTCTTATCAGCTCAATGCATGGGCTTTAAAAATAGATGGAACAGAACATGTAGCTGCCTGTGGAGAAGCAGACAACACTTCTAAACTAAGAGGGGAAAAAAAAGGAGAGTGACTCTGAAAGCTTTGTTTGGCTGTGCGTCATGACTGTGTCATGTGTTTTAATGTTTAGTTACCCTTCGTCAAATCAAACTCCTGAAACAATCCTAATTCCTAATTCTAAAAAGATAAATGGATTACATAGTGGCAGCCTTTCAGATGAAGTATTGACTCAAGTCAGTCATTCAAGCATCAGCAGCAGGAATCCTCCTTCAGACTTAGGAGCAAGTGCAGAGAGTGAAGGTGTCTATCTGTTATGAAAAGGTCTGCCCTGAGGAGGTCAACATCTTGAAAACTGTTATCTGTGTTCCAGATTAAACTACAACCAAGTCCATGAACCACTCCTCTCAAGTCACCGGGAAGCCTTATCGAGCCGCACCAGCCTGTTTAAACAGGCTTCCAGGCAGCCACGTGATGCCCGCAGCATGCCCCCTACTCCCATCCTCACCCGCAACGCCTACAGCAGCACCCAGCTCAGGTAGGTCCTCGAATAGTGAACATGAGTTTCTTTATGTATTTTTCTTTCTGTTCTTAAAGGGATATTCCGGTGTAAAATTAATTTAGGGTCAAACACACCATAACACCGAGTTAGACCCCCCCCCTTGAGAGATGAATGTTGACGACCGCTTGCTTCTCTAGTGACGACTGCATGATAGCAATACACAGCGGTCTCAGGAGACATAAACAAACCTCAACCAAAAAGCCACTCTATAGCCACAAATAATGCTCAGAACAGCACCTAACTTCATCAACAGTACATATAGGGTCCCAGACATATCACCAGCACTAGAGAAGCAAGCGATCGGCAACATTCATCTCTCAAGGGGGTGTCTAACTCTGTGTTATGGTGTGTTTGACCCTGGATTAATTTTACGCTGGAATATCCCTGCTGATGTGTCTGCTGATGCTGGTGTTTGCACCAACAACCTCACTAGGCTATTTTCTTCTTGTAGATCAGAGGACGCTGTGCAGCATTTTCGCCAGCGCAGTGGTAGCCTGGAGTCTCAGTCTCAGTTCCTGACCGAGGCTGAACCTCCCGTGCAAACATTCGCCTTCTTCCAAGCTCGCCGCAGCAACAGCACCGAGATCCTCGACGATGGCTCCTCCTACACAAGCCAGTCCAGCGTGGAATACTCAATCCCCGGCAACCAAACTCACAGACGAAGAGCCCGCGGCCGACACAGAAAGGACGTGTACGCCAACACGGGCAGCATGCCTAACCTAGCTCAGACGGACAACCCCTGCCACGCCTACCAGCCGCGAGCCCGACCCACCACAACGGCCTACTACGTAACGGGCTACCCCAGCTACACAGAACCGGACCCTTACTCTAACGGTGCCTACATGTACGAGAATGAGATGGAGGGCCACTATAATGTCAACCCTTCCTACCATACGACCTCAACAGCTTATCACAGCTATGGCATGCATAGTAGCTATGGGAACGACGAGACGGATGGCTTGTCAGAGAACTTATACGCCACATTGAGACCACCCAGGAATCGCCCGGTGCCCCGCAGCAACGAGCAGGTCAGCAAGAACATCCAGAAGGCTTTAGTGGCTGAACATTTGAGAGGCTGGTACCATCGTAACGCTGCACACAAGCAGGCGGCCTTCAGTTTTGACTATGACCGAGGCTCCCAGCAGAGCCTGGGCTATCAGACCTTGCCTGCACCCTACAGCCACAATAGTAACATCGCCTACTCAACAGGTGAGCTCCGTTTCTTGAATTATTACTTTGTGATCTTGTCCTGTTTTGTTTTTTTCTCTGTGTAGGAAGAGCATATTCTAACTTGTACTATTTTTTTCCCCAGTGTCCTCAGTGCCCTCGAGTGCAAACTGGCACAGCAATATGAGTGTCAGCGGTATGTCGGAGTATGACATGCCTATGCATGCACCGCAGTCCTACTCTTACACTACAGCACCCCACAGCCACTCCACCCACAACAGGTGAGGGAAAAAAAAAACTTTGCCTTCTACTCAGCTCTTTATCCAATAAGTCACTCCCTGATCCGCCTTACTCCCAGAGCTAAGCACTATGTTTTAATTACCTTTAATGGGAGGCTACAGAAACATGAGCCATATGGTTTGCTGTTCTACAATATCTTGTGTCTCTACAAAGCCAATGTTACTGTTTCTTTAACCGTACACATAACTTCTAACAGCGTACAGTGTCTATCTGCCTCACAACATCTTAGCTCAGTAGTAGGATTAAAGGATCTGTACAGCCAGCAGCCAATTCTTCCTCAGAGCTTAAGACTAGTTGTGCTCCCTCCTTAACTGTCCACTGGCCCCTGCTTTCTTATAGGTCTGGTGTCTCCCAGCTTTTTAAGGGCTTCTGGCACAACCCTGTTGGCCGGGAACACTGTGCCTTCCCACCTGCTAGTTCTTCCTCCTCCTCCTCCACCTCCTTCCCTCCTCATTTCCCTCTTCCTCCTACTTCCCTGGCTCCCCAGTCAGGCAGGTGGCCTCCGGCTCTGCACAGGCAGACTCCTCCAGAGTCCACAGGCTCAATAAGGTGTCCTTTGTGAAAGGTAGTCCATAGTAAGTAAACGACAAACGCGAGAGCCTGTGCCTGTGCAGCTTTCAGTTTGCCTGCATCGTGACTTTGTAGTCTGCTTGATAGTGTTTTGAAGTGAGCCTGCGTTTTTTGGGGTGTTTTTTTGAATGATCCTTTTTTTTTGTCATGTGACAGGTAACTGCATGGCTTTAAAAAAGAAAAAACATGCCCGCCTTGTTTGCTCGCCAAGCACACTGCCATCTCCTGGTCAGATTTCTCTGCAGCGGGCCTCGCTGCTCAGAAATGTTTGTTTTGTTTTGGTGCTTTTGTTACCCTCCCTCTGACCAGGCAGAAGCTCCATGATACGTGCTTTCACTCACTTTTGACCTTTGCCCTCCTCTCGTATGCAGATGTACCCCAGAGTTTGAGCGGTGGAGCTCAGATAGGAAGGCTTGCCCTGTGGGGTCGTTAGAGGAGTGTGATCCTTTGTGTGAAAATTAATACCCCTCCCCCAATAATCAATGTCACTGCACAGAAGAAAGGGTGAGGGATGAGAATGAAAACTTCCCCTCAAAGCTATCTATCATGGTGATGGTGATGTGTGTGTTTTTAAACATGAGTGATCACAACTTCCAATCAGTTTTGACGACCTCTCCTGATTTTGTTTCTCTGGGTGTCTTGTGGTTGTGGGACAGCACTTGTGTGGCAGAGGAATAAAAGTGACCCCTGTGTGATGCATTTGAAGGCTTTGTGTGATGTGTATGCAAAATTTTTGTACTTTAACTGTTTTGTTTTGCTTGAGAATGTGTGACCCTGGGTTGCCTTGACAACACACTCGAAACACACAGGCATCTAAAAAGTTCAATCCATCTTGTTTTAGTTCAGCTCCCACCATAGACTGTATATAGAATGGACAGAGTCTGCCTCCTCGCTGGGTGAAGCAGCTCCGAGAACAACACCCTCTAGTGACGGGCTGCGGTATAGGTCATAAATCCCGTCTCCTCCAGCAATCCATATGGAGCTGTGGACAAACTTTAGAAATTTATTACACAGAATATAATTTTTTTTCCCCCCTGCTTCCGATGTTGACATGTTGTTACAGTAAGACTGGTTTGTGCTCAAGTCTTCTTTTTTTCTATACAGCTTCATTTTTAAAAGTTATTAGGGGGTTCATGTTTTCTATGATTGACACTTGATACAGCCTATGGCCATATGAAGGTTGTGTAGCTCACCCTGGGGATACGCAGTTTGAGCCGAGCGTCATTACAGCGACTCTCTGCAACTGTCCTATGCCTACAACGCTACTGCACAATGTTGGTTTCAGGAATTGAAGAAAAAACGCAGAATTACCGAGAGCTTTTCAGCTTCAAATCCATTTACTGGCGGAAGACGGGACCAAGTTGTCCATAGTATATACAGTCTATGGCTCCCACCAAAAGATGACACCCCTTTTTTCTGACAGGGTGTAAAGAGCTCAGGGTTAACCCATTCATGTTGAAGCAGTCTAAAGCATAGTTCTGTTTGCCACCAGTCTAATGGTTCAACTCTTGTGCTTTTACAGATCCTACATAGATGTCAGCCAAACGGAAGGAGATCTGCAACCAGAAGACCAAATTTATTGGCACGAAGACTCAAAGCCTGGAACAATAGTGTAGCCGCCTGTCTGTTGTTGTGCTGTATTTCTTTCTTTTACCTTGACATGCTGTCATTGTGCCTTAAACTGCACTTACCAGTTTTGTTTGTGTACAAGAGTATCCAAAGAATGAAGTTACTTCACCTCTATGTGAAGTAGATGAGGCGCTCTCATTTTCTGTGCTCTTGAATGCAATTACCAAACAGTTTTTAAGGCATGACAGAAACCCGCCGGAGTGTCGACAAGTGTGTATCGTGTGTATTTGGATGATGGTACTTGTGCACTTAAAACTGTTCAAGGACATGCTGCGTACTGCTCCGTACCACCAAAGGGAATATGGACTCAGCTCAGCAGTCTTTCTCAGTGGAGATACTGACATCCGGAACCAGGAATATGACTGTCTTTGTAGGAGGATATTGAGCCGCCATGAACAAGAATACTGCTCTGCTTCCCCCACATCTGAACGTGGTAATCGTGGAATGTGCAAAGATTTCTAAAGACTTAATTTAAATGAAGGATTAAACTCATTCACCGATGAGTTAAAAAAAGAGGGCTATGACTGCCTGCAGTCACCGGATCAAGTTTTATTGTAGCACCGTTAGTTGCTACCACTGTGATTTCTGTACTCATGTGGGTCATTTACAAAGTATTCAACCTGTCTCACTGTCAGTACTTACCATTGAGCCAAATATGTCCGCCACACCATTTCCAGAGTTCTCCTGAAGTTATGGCAGGATTGTTTAAAAAAATGGTTATTTCATCCATGCTGGTGATCATGGACTGGTGCTCCCAATTTCTCCCAAGGGAATGAAGCTTTTTGTAAATGATGATGTTGTAAATACACTGGTTCTGTCTTTTATAGAAGATTTGTTTGTATTTTAAAAGCATGTAATATATAGTTAACAATTGCTGTTAAGCTGGTTCTTAGTAATTTGTATAATTGGATTAGTTTGGAATAAAAAATCAACGATTGAATCAGTAACTGAAATGGATGTCGTGTAAATAAAAAGAAAAGCTATCCAAACTTTACACCGAAAATAAAAAATGAAGGAAAATAGTGTTTTAATCTGAATCCATCAATTTAGGTCATAGATATCAGTAAATGAAATGCAGATTCAAGGAAGTTTACTGGTCAATTTGAGAGTAAAAATCAAGAAGCCTCATTTATTAGAGCAGGTTATTCCCAAGTGCCACAGACTGTGGTCCCTGGAACACAAATGGATTTCTACACAAAGACTTGAGGAAACCACTCATCTTGGCCTCACTATAAGGAGACACCTTCAGAAGTGTGAACTGTCAAGTGCAGAGTTATCAGTTTTTTCCCCGTCCTTTGGGATTGTAGGAATAAACACCAGACTTAAAGAGGTTACGATAAGTGGGAACTAGTAAATACCGTATTATGATACTCTGCTGCTGCAGTTACCGCAGAGCTCTGTTGTAGTCTTTCAAAGCCTCGCTGTTATGTTAGTCTTGTTTTCTGTGTCCTGAAGCCATAAACTGACCAAACCTGTCTTTGAAACCTGTCACACCCACTGAGCGCTGTAACCTGTTCTTCTGCCCTCCAGGGAACGTCAACTCTCCAACTCTCCTTCTATACAGACTCACATCCTCTTATCACCAACGCCTTTCCTCCTCATCAGCAAGTACACATCCAATATCACTTCATGTCTAGTTACTTTGTAATACTGGTCAGAGTTGAGCAGCTTCTCTCAGCTTGTTGAGCAAGCTCATGGGAGGTCTCAGGGACTTGCAGCCAGATGCAGCGTAAGAGGGGGCGCTTTATATCCAGCTGTCTCCCTCAGTCTTTGCTCTTTCACTGCTCAGCACCAGCTGCAGCCAGTCATAAGGCGAGGCTGCTGACACCCCACCCAAATGAAAAGACAATGGCTACTACCTGCTTTTCCGAATACACAAAAGGCTTTGTTGTTTATTCTCCAAAATCATTCAAAGGTTTGACAGATGTGAAAGGTGTTGGTTGTTTGTGTCTATAAGTGCCTCAGCATCTTTTTTCTCACTGTTTTGGTTTGACGGCCTGTACAACTCACTTATGAAACAGAAAACACCCAACACACAGACACACACACACCTGCTGGCTGTGCAGCAGCACACGTGTCAGTAGGATCCTTGCAGCAGCTGCAGGAACAAGAGCCTCCTCTGTGCACTGAGAGACATGACTTTACTTGAGTTCACCGCCATCAGCGCCTCTGCTCACTCCACCAAGTTGCACAATATGGATCAAGATGAAGCACCATGGGAAAGTCATAAATTACTATTGCAGCACAGAGAGTGACAGCTTTGCAACTCGAGACACGATATATTTGTGTGCAGAGCTGGTGAGGAGGAGTTATCAACTTAATACTATGTGTTCCCTTAAAGGAAATCAACCTGAGTCTGAGAGAGTAAATGGGTCTGAACTCTGAAACTGCTGCACTCTGAAGAGGCTGCTCTTGAATGCTCACCTACAAGGGGAGGCTTAAGTGAAGGTTCAAGTAAAGATAATTACTTCATATCCCAGGGGAGGATTTTAAAGTTTGAAGGAATATTGATGGACTCAGGTTAAGACCTCACAATCCTTTAGAGCTGACACAGTTTTTAGAGTAACATCATAGCTCAAAGGAGGGCGTCACTCTTTCTCTCTCTTTCTCTCCTTTTTGGTTCATTTATATTTTTATTTGCACAAACATGAGGTACGTTAGTTTCCATTTAAATGCATACTGGAGTCCAAAAATAGAAACTTACGGGATGATACATTATTCACAAACCTGACACAATCAAACCTTTAGAATCATTCGGCAGTGATGTGTACTGAGTACGCATTTCTTACTCTTCATTCTGCTTCAGAATTTCGGTCAAGAGTAAACCGGCTGGATTTCAGGTCGTCTCTGAGACGAATTAGAGGCAGATTTCATACTAAAGCAAGAAGTCTGCAGCTGTATTGCACATAAACAAACTGCATAGCGGGACTGTGAGGAGGGGCTGAAAAGTCCTCTTCACTGTTTTAGAAAAAGTACCTTGACAAGTTCTGTGTGGTGTGACAGATTCAAAAATTAAGCCCTTTTTTTTGGAAGACTCTTAGGATTAATGCTGTTTGCACGTATCTGCACTTGTTCCCATGTCCAATCACTCCTTTAACTTGCTCTCCAGAAAATTCTGAATCTTCTGAATGCTCTCCTCTTGCTGACCCAGGGCCTCCAACAAAATGCCCATGGGTGACCTCTTCAGTCCTGCTCCTTCGATCTTGTTCTCCAGTTTGTTTTTCATGTTGCGAAGGCGAAATGAAGCGTGTGCAAATATCACTGAAAAGAGAGGGGAGAGAGACTGTTACTGTTCAGTCTCACATTTTGGTGACTTCTGTGACTGATTTTGAAAGAAGTTTGTTGCCAAAGTTATTTTCATAACACTTAAAAAGTGCTGATCAATGTATTTAATGTCACTTCTCTTAAAGGGATATTCCGGCGTAAAATTAAGTTAGGGTCAAACACACCGTAACACCATCATTTCTTCATGGAAATGCAATCAGACTGAGACGCTAAGGCAGAGGAACTACAAAATGTGCAACAAAAGTGCAAAATCATTAATATGGTGATTAATACTTCAAGGAAATGATGAAGTAATGATTATAAATGTTCTTCCTTGAGCTGCTTCACCCCGCTGCAGTCCATAATGGACTCGCCCTAGATGCTGATAGTGAGTAGGTGAGTTGTGTTTAGTCTCTTTGCTAAAGAAATCAAGCAAAGTTAAAAAGATGTTTGGTGGCTAGTGCTATGGCTAGAGAGCTACTATACTAGAGGTTTGTTTATGGCTCCTCAGATCACTGTGTATTGCTATCGTGCGGTCATTCCTAAAGTTGGTATGACTAGATAAGCAAGCGGTCGGCAACATTCAGCTCTCAGGGGGGGTGTCTAACTCGGTGTTACGGTGTTTATGACGTAAATTAATTTTATGCCGGAATATCCCTTTAATTCTTGCATGATTCACTGTTTTCCAAAAACATTGCAGTCAGAAGTACCATACAGACTTTTGTCAAACATCATTTCAGACTTACAAGTCAGAGGTACAGTGATTGCAGACATGAACACCATGACACTCCCCAGCATTGAGATTACGACGTAGCTGGCCACCATGACTGCAATCACAAATGCCGTTGGATTCTGCCTCTTAAAGTCGCTTATCGCAGCTCTGTTCTCCCCGGCCCACACTGAACCCATAAAGATGGCCGACACCACAACCATGGCTGTGAACATCCCCAGGGGGTTCAGGAACCTGCAGGACGACAACACAAGACACAAGAGAGCAGACGGGTCAGTCTGAACCTACAGTGGTACATAAATAGCTCAGGGGGTCGTCTGGGTATCCCAGTGTATCTTTGCTCCACCAAGTGGTTGGAAATAGTTCCTTCATCATATTTGTTTGGGGTGGTTAACAACAGTGGTGATTGAAAGAAAACAGCCAATTCATGTCTAAAACTGTGTTGTTTCCATCAGAATTCATCTTAAATAAACTCTTCAACAACAGAGGTGCCATGACTAGAAATCAATACATATGTTCAAATGTAAAGTTAACTTTTCCAGTTCAACCAACAATTGATTTACAGGCATTATCCCATCCTCCAGTGTGTTTATTCACTGAGGTTTTCTTTAAGCTACAGTAATAGTGAACTGACTGTAACGGTATTTGAGCTGATCTTTACATAAAACATAATTAGTGTCATATTACAGTTTTCTCTAAAACCACTGGGACACGGTTATATATTTATGGCCTCATATAATTGCTGTTTTATGCACAGTTATAAAGTCACACATATAGCCTATGTCTTAAAATAAAATACACAATACACAGTAGAAAAATAATAACATCATAATGCCCCCTAGTGGACAAACTATTGATAGCAGTGTTACTTTTTGTCAGTATCATTAAAATTACCTGGCATTGGACTGGCTACTAAGTTGTACTATTGAAAGGACAACTTGATCCTAAACAAGGGTTAGCAGAGGCTCAGCATGTGAACAGGAGTAACTATACTGATACCTGAGCAGTTTTTGCAAACAAACAAAAAAGTGAGCTGCCCCACATAGAGGACATTGTGTTCAATCCATGTGCAAACAACTTTCTTTTTTTTTTAATATGTTAAGGCTACAAGCCTTTTGTGGAGGCTGTATCTCCAGTCCTCACTGATTGTTTAGTCTAATCTTTTGTTTGAACAAAGAAATATGTTCTCACAGCAGAGGCACATTCGTCTCCACTGTAAAACCACTGAAACCATCACTGGAGGAAGACTCCCCTGTGAAAAATCAAGATAAAATTTGCATTGTAAAAGAAGAAGCTGTACAAGCTGCGGTTTACTATCTGAAGCATGACAGCTCACAAGACTCACAGCTTGGGAGGCCCTCATGTCTATGGCAAAAAATATGTCATCATACAGCTCAATGGGCGGACCATGACAGGGCACTGCTATTTTTAGTAAACTGGGATTTAGAAGAGTCTGTGCCAACCAAAGCCAAGAGTTTGCCCTGTGAGAGATAAAACCTCTTGTTCAATAATCTGACCTTGTATGGTGTCTTCATTTAACACAACTCAGGCAGTCTGCAGCAGAGCAGATCCAGGACTGACAGGTCAGAGACTGGACTATTGATGATAGGTCATGCATTGTGTGCAGTTTCAGATAACACGATAAGATGACTGATGTACTCATCATTGTTTTAACCCTAGAACACTATCGCTGGGTGATTTTCACCCGACCAAACATGTTTACGTCATTTTCATTCTGTTGCATTTGTCTGAGTATCATAGGTCCCTGGGTAGTTTCAGCATTGCCTTTGACATCTTTGAAGGCATATTTGTTTCCCTGATCCAAAAGTCGCTTTTTCCTACAGATACACGTTTGGGTGATTTTCACCTGGCAATAGTGAAAGAGGGTAAAGTAGGGATAGCTGCATGTAGGGAATAAGGTTAGTAAGAATGGTCCGTAGAATTTGCATGCTATCTTTATTTAGCGCGGTGTTTATGAAAAACTATCATTAAGTAGTGATTTTCAGGGGAATTCATGTGGTGATAAGAAATATCTTAGTCAGCTGGTCATTTTTACTCACTCAAAATATGCCATATTTTGGTTCTCTCTCCTGCAGCTGTTATTGTGCCAAGGACCCTGAGTCTTCACCAGGGAAGACTCACATGCCCCAGGAATGGGTGCAAAAGAAACTAAGTTTACAGTTTATATTTTTGAATTTATTTTCATCTATTTATTTTTTTCATTTTTATTTTTTTTGTAGGAATATTTTGTTCATGAATACCTCATTTAAGTTATTTTGTTGCATTTTTATATGGTCTCCTCGTGGCAATTTGTTTCTCTCATAGACTGTATATACAGTCTATGGTTTCTCTCCCTTCGGACATTGTACAGTTGAAAATGGAAGAAAACTACTTTGATTTGTCATATATTGTTCTATTTTGATATATTTTGATGACAAGTACTTTTTCTTCGGTATATTATTTCAGGTTAAAAAATCACCCGGTGATAGTGATGGTGTTACTAATTTTAGTAAAAGTGTTCTAGGGATAGGGAGAAAGAGCTTTAACTGAAGATGGGTGTATTTTAGCCTGTAGAGTAATTTCCTGTCACTGCTGAGTTTTCAAACCCTGGTTACAAACACAAAAACAGGACTCCACATCCTTCCTGTAGCCTCATGTAAATCCTTCAAAGTAGGCTACATCTCAGTGTGAGCTGACTAGCGCACACAGTGGAAAATGTCACATAAATAGGACGTAAAATACGACTGCGAATACGATTTGTCGACCAGATTTAGACAAGAGTTCACAGTTAATTCATTACATTGATCATCATCAGAAATAAACAGCAACTCACCCAACAACCAGGAAAACAACCACAGCCAGAGCTAAGTAGTTTGTCTGATAATAAAGCAGGTTGCTGACGACTCTGTTGTTCCATTTTGCCAGATCTTTGACATCCGGTTTGGAGAATCTCTCCGAACCAGGGAAGAAGTCGTCCCAGGTTCTGAGCGGTGTCAGCTCCACTTTAGCCATTCGTCCTCTTACTTTAAACTGACTGACTGCACACGAAAGCTCCTCACACACACATCGCGCTGTCTCTCGCGAGAAGCAACTGGTGACACGAAGGATAAGCCACGCCCACTCAGTCTGACGAAACTTAATGACATTGGTTAGCAACCACGCAGGACAAACTATACTTCCTGTAACGCTTTCAAGAAGTCATGGCTAACAAGAAGCAATAACTGTTCGTGATTTTTTTCTTTTGAGGTTCCAGGTCAGTTTTTTCTTGTTTAGCGACTCATTTATATCGTGAATGTTAATCATTTGTTTGTGGTGTATGGCAGTGGGAGGAGTGAGTGGACCTAAAGCATGTCTGCTGCTGCTGCATGTAAATCAGCTGAACTTGTAAAGGCTCGCTGTCAATATCAGGCACATGTTTTATTTTTATTTTCCCCGTACAACAGATGTGGAGCCGAGTGTTGAGATCTTTTGTACTTGTAAGACCAAATCTCCACCGGAGGAGTCTCTTCACTATGCAGCTGAGCTCCAGTGAGTTTAAGTCTCTGTTCAACGATGGACTCAATGGATTAGCAGGTGAGGGGGGATGATGAAATCCGGCTCCCATGTAGCGGAGAGTGGGGTAAGTTGAGCCCAAGGTTAAGTTGAGCCACCCCCTGTTGCTTGGAAATTGTTAAAGAAATTGATCATGTGACCAAATATTTAGGAGATGGGCATCAATTCATAGGGTCAGAGAAGCACATGGGTGAAGGGGTTAGACATTTATTAAAAAAGAAAAAAACATTGTTCACTCTTGAAAGTGAATTAAGTCTGTCATAAGTTTTATTAGAATTGTGTTCAGAACAAAAAAGATCATATTAAATTTGTTTTATACATCAAGTGTTGTATCTATGAGCTACAACATGAGGTCAAAAACCTAGCATAGAAGTCCACCATTTTAGCTTAGAGGACAAATAAAGTCATAACCAGAGACTGTATATACTATGGACAACTTGGTCCCACCTCCCGCTTGTATACGGATTTGAAGCCAAAAAGCTCTCGGTATTTCTGGGATTTTTCTTCATTTCCCGAAACCAGCGCTGCGCAGTAGCATTGTGCGCATTTGACCGGAGAGTCGCCAAGAGTCGCTGTGATGACGCTTGGCTCAAACAGCGTATCCCCCGGGTGAGCTACGCAATCCCTGAACGCCAATAGGCTGTATCAGGTGTCATAACTTTTAAAAACGGAGCTTCACAGAAAAAAAAGCTCAAGGCGGGATTTATGACCTATACTGCAGCCAGTCACCAGAGGGTGCTGTTCTCGGAGTGGCTTTACCCAGCAAGGAGGCAGACACTGTCCATTCTATATACAGTTTATGGTCATCATAGTAGTTCTGGGGTAAGTTGAGCCAGTGGCTCAACTGAGAAAGTAAAGGAGTCTGATGAGAGGATCAGAGTTTCAGTTCAGATTGTTGAAATGTGTTACTTTTTCCTTTCAAAACTAAAGCTGTGAATGTTCTGAATCACTTAAAGGCATTCTCATGTTCAATTTTTTTTTTTTTTTTTTTACAAAACAGTTTTTTAACAGTTATATACAATAATAATAAAAAGAATAATTCTACCAGTTGAATAGCATATAATAGATAAAAATATCTCAACTTACCCCATGCACAGGGTAAGTTGACCATAGGAAACCACTTTTTTTTGGCATGTTATATTATCAAGACAGTTATGGTTAAACTCATTCTGTTGGTTTGCAGGGATGCACAACATCTTGAAATATATGCAGATACACTAGTTAGAGACAAAACTTTGATTATCTTGATGTAGTGATCCAAAATGTGAAAAATGGCTCATCTTACCCCACTCTCCCCTATTAGCTTGGGAGGGTTGTTATTTTTCTAAAATTTTCATGATGGCAGATTAAAACAGGGCTACCAGTGACAGGAATTGATGCATTTAGGGTGGATCCTATATTGTCCAAAGTTATCCAATCACATCATGTATATATGCCTCTTCTGAACTTGAGGATTGGTAGCCGAGTTACATGTTAAAGCATCAAGTCCAAGCTCTAGCAAAGATGATCTTATTAACATAAGTGTTTCCACAGAGACTTGATAAAGCTCTTTCTTACATTTCTTACAGGCTGAGCAGTGCTTGCCTTTGCCCATAAAGTGGTCTTCAAGAAAAAATTGGGGAAATGTCCTTTAAATATTCTTACACATGCCATGTGTCCAGACAGCAGTCGTTTTAGGCTCAAAATAATAAATTTTTTTCATCAATTGATATTAATATCACGAAATAAAGGAATCACTTGTCAATCTTAAATGTTCCTTGTTACTCTTCCCTGACTTTGTGGTAACATGTAGTTGACATAATATGCAGTACACACCAGTCTGCTACATGTCTGACCTCAAAAACCGAAATACTGCCACACCACCGACGTCTATGTGCCAGTGTTGTCAACGATGTTGTCATCTGTTGAGCCTTCATCTGCATTTCTGCTGGGGGTAGCACTCATTGTGTTGCGTGCATGGTTTGCTTGTAGCTGCAGCCTGCCACTACGCAGTTGTTTGCCACTTGGTTCTAATTCAGCACATGACTGGTTCAGCGCGGCATGGACTCGGAGCAAATCCCCTTTTCATCGGCTTTTCGTATAGTCTACTAAAACATGTCAGTGCTGACTATCGAAAAAGCATATTCACCATGTTTCATATCAATATCAAGGGAAATTAATTTTTGATATATGTCATTATTGTTTTATCCCCCAGCCCTAGCTCAAAGCCTGTTTTTTTTTTTTTATGTTTGACTCAGCAAGCGTTTTCACACTTCTTCTGAAAAGTCACACACTCCCTTTTTGTCTGTTTCAGAAGTGTTTGGGAAGCACCAGCATGAGATCAGGATAGCTGGAGGTGCTGTACGAGACTTGCTGTCTGGGAAACGACCTGAAGATGTGGACTTTGCCACTACGGCCACTCCAGAGGAGATGAAGCAAATGTTCCAAAAGGCTGGGATCAGGATGATCAATAACAAAGGAGAGAAGCATGGAACAATCACAGCAAGAGTAAGACGCTGTCCTCCTCAAGCAGGCATAATACAAATTTGACTGATGTTTTGAAACCTGCTTTGAAAACTCTTAGAAATAAACACACACACTCTAAAGAACACAGGGCAGCCATGAGACAAAAATCCATTATTAAATATTCAAATGTGTATGTGTGATCAGTGACACAACTATCAACTGTATACTGAGCACCTCTGAAACATTGCAATGACTTTAAGGTAGAAAAGGGACTTAAAGGGATATTCGGGCGTAAAAATAATTTAGGGTCAAACACACAGTAACACCCCCTCGAGAGCTGAATGTTGCCGACCGCTTTCTTCCTTAGTTATACCGACTTTAGTAACGACCGCACGATAGCAATACACAGCGGTCTATGGAGCCACACGCCCAACCAAAACGCCACTCTGTAGCCACAAATAATGCTCAGACCAGCACCTAACTTCATCAACAGTACATATAGGGTCCCGGCTATAGCACTAGCCACCAAACATCGTTTTAGCTCTGCCTAATTTCTTTAGCAAAGAGACTAAACACAACTCACCCACTCTCTTCCAGCAGCCACTTGTTTGTAGCGAGACCTCAGGCCAGTCCATTACGGACTACAGCGGGGTGACGCAGCTCAAGGAAGAATATTTATGATCATTTCTTCATTCAAATGCAATCAGACCAAGACACTCAGGCAGAAGAACTACCGTGTCTGCAGTGCAAAATGATTATTATGGTGATTATTACGACAAGGAAATGTTAAGAAATGATCAAGATAATTAAGAAAATGATAAAGTTGGTATAACTAGAGAAGCAAGCAGTCAACAACATTCATCTCTTGAGGGGGTGTCTAACCCAGTGTTACGGTGTTTTTGACCATAAATTAATTTTACACTGGAATATCCCTTTAAGTCTTAAGACGGTGATAAATATGCTCTAATTAATCTCTTTTAATCATCTCCCTTTACAGCTACATGATGAAAACTTTGAGGTGACCACATTGCGAGTGGATGTTCAGACAGATGGACGTCATGCAGAGGTTGAATTCACCACGGACTGGCAGAAAGATGCTGAGAGGAGAGACTTGACCATCAATTCCATGTTTTTAGGTCTAAACATGTTTACTCTTCAACTTGAGTCAACTTGTGTGCACAAATAGGACTCAATTTGCTCTAAGTTTGACCGTGTGGCAGAGACGCTCATGTTATAAAGATAAGGCCAGTTTATGAGGTGTATTTGGTGACTGTTTTTGTTTTGCACTTCTGACTTTATTCTTAACATTGCTGCTTTTAGGTCTTGATGGCACATTGTACGACTATTTTCAAGGATATGAAGATTTGAAGAACCGTAAAGTGAGATTTGTCGGCAGTGCGGAGAAAAGAATTCAAGAGGACTATTTGAGAATATTGCGCTATTTCAGGTTGAGTAGATTTATTTTGTTTTCAATTAAAAATTTTTAAAAAAGAGAGAGAGAGAGAGAGAATTTGACACAAAATACACACCCTCCTCCCAGGTTTTATGGCAGAGTGGCTTTGGAGCCTGATGACCATGAACCAGAGGCACTGACTGCCATAAAGGAAAATGGTCGGGGACTGTCAGCCATATCAGGAGAGAGAATTTGGATGGAACTGAAAAAGTTGGTGGTTGGTAACCACGTAGCTCATCTGTTGGAGCTGATGTACACCTTAGAACTGGCTCAGTATATGGGTGAGACCGATAATTTACACACAACTGCTATTGCATGATGCTTATTCTGTATTAAGAATCACAGTAAGCTGCAAACTCCATTTAAACCTCTGGGAAGATGTGGATTTCATAATTCTGTTAAACGCTTGCACCTGCTCTCTGTCCCTGCTGCTTTACAGGTTTACCTCCAGATGGCAATGTTGAAGAGATGAAGCAAGTGTGGAAGAACGCAAAAGACCATTCTCCCAAACCAATGACTATCCTAGCGTCTCTCTTCCACTACCCAGAGGAGGTGGAGAAGATGGACCTCCGACTGAAGGTGTCCAAGGAGGAGAAGACTCTGGTTCTGTTCCTTCTCAAATACAGACGGGAGCTCCGCAAGAGTGAGGAGGAGCCAGACAACCTCAAACCCTTCACTGATTTTATCATTGACGTAAGTTTGTCACCTGGTCTTATGGGGTTGCATTAAAGCACTACCTGCTGTAAATGATCCCTTTGAAAGTTACATTTCTGAGTTTCACTTGCACATATTTGTTTCACTTTATTTTATCATGCATCATTGTTGTTATGAAATGCTTGTAATCTGGAACCAGATTTTTAAGGTTATCAATCATACACAAACTCTTTCCAGAGTCGGGAGCTGGATACCAAGAATAAAGTGTGCGAGCTACTCAAGTATCAAGGCGAGGAGAAGCTTTTGGCAGAACTCTGCAGGTGGTCCATCCCTCACTTTCCCGTCAGCGGTCACGACCTACGAAGGCTCGGTGTAACGACAGGCAAGGAAATAGGTGCCACTCTGCAGAAGCTGCGTGACATCTGGAAGAAAAGTCATTACCAAATGGACAAAGATGATCTCCTCAGCTATGTAAAGACATAAAAGGCCAGCAGAGGCGTGTTTTTGTGGGACTGTAATTGATCTGCTCACAGTAGCAGACTCCGATACTGCTGGGAAAGACCACTTCAGGAACTGAGATGGAAGAAAACAGTTTAGTTCTAAATTAATTCCACTTTTCATAATCAATATTTTATAGGTTCAGTTTCAGTTTGTTATCAGCATTACGTCTGTCAACAGATTAGAAAATGAGTGATGGACAAAAGCACTTGATGTCACTGCGGATAAAATAATAAAACTAATGTTTCCAAAAAGGATCATTAGAGCTACAATACAAAGCCGAAGTTTGAATTTGGTCTGTTTGATTTCACTCTGAGTTTTAGAGCAGTAATGTTTCTCTGCTGTTTCTCTGTTAAAGAAATGCTCTATAAAAGCGTAATCCTTTCATTGATAACTCTTGTCTGTGGATATTTTCATGAATGCATTGCAGAGTGCAGATGTACTCAACTGTATGTCTCTCAGTACTATGAAACGTGAGGTTGCGCCTCCTCCCTTGGGTGAGATGTAAAGCCTGATGCTTATTCGGTGTTTGCATGGAGAGCGTCCACACCTGTTGCCTTCTGCACTTGAGAGAGAGTTTTCATTTGTCAGAGCATGATTTGTTTCGGTGAAAATGACACAGACATGGTTTTGGAGACTGCTTTATCTGACAGTGAGCTGCGAGACGAGCGTTTGGCTGGAGTAGAAATCGCGCTTCTCTCCATCATCTTCATCACTGCAGGGCTGCTGAACGCGGGGCTCTTACTGGTGCTGTGGAGGCAAAGACGGCAGCTCTCCAGGATGCGCGTCTTCGTTTTCCACCTGTGCACCGCTGATCTGGTGGTGACATTCTTCCAAGTGTGTCCCCAACTTCTGTGGGATATCACAGACAGATTCGTCGGTCCAGATCTACTGTGCCGCTTGGTGAAGTACTTGCAGGTTGTCGGGATGTTTGCCTCTACTTATATGATCGTGGTAATGACAATAGACCGATATCAAGCTATTTGTTACCCAGTGGTGACTTTCCAGAGGCGCAGGGCTCGCTGGAACGGTCCGGTGTGCGCCGCCTGGTGCGTCTCTCTCATCGGCAGCCTTCCACAGATTTTCATCTTCTCTCGGGTCGAGGTCGCTCCCGGTGTCTACGACTGCTGGGCAAGGTTCATTAAGCCGTGGGGACCGAGAGCATATGTGACCTGGACCACTCTGGTGATATTTGTTCTCCCCATTCTCACGGTGACTGTCTGCCAAGTGCGCATCTGCCGAACCTTGCGCCCTAACTTCAGTGTGAAGACACAGCACGTTGGAGATGTCATGAGGAAGACCGCAGCTCAAAGAGCCAGCAGCGTGACACGGCTGTCCAGGGCGAGGGCCAAGTCTGCGAGGATGACTGTGGTCATCGTGTTTGCATACATCATCTGCTGGACGCCATTCTTCACCGTGCAGCTCTGGTCTGTTTGGGACGTGGAGGCACCCACACACAGTAAGATACGAGAGCCCACACATCATGCTTTGGGGGTTAAAAATTACGGTGGCCGAGAACCGCCACTGCTGCAAAAAAAAAAAAAAATGTAAAAGAAAAAAAAAGGGGGGGGGGGGGGGGTCTTTGCTCGTCTTTTCGTCGTGGTCTTCTGTGCCTAGATCATAAAACACCAGTGCCTCATCATAATTGGTCCCAGCAGCTCACTTTTGTTGTGGCTTTTTTTATTTGCATCCTTTTATTTTCGCACTTACAAATTTTTTAAATTTTTTAAATTAATTTATAATAATAATTATTATTTTGCATCGCCACATTTTTTTCATCATTAACTTCCATTGTGGCTTTTTTTCTAATCTTATTTTTTTTTTATCTACACTGTTTCTCTTTATTTGCACCGGGCTTCGGTTTCTTTTCTTTTTTTATCAGTAACTTCCGTTGTGGCTTCTTTTATTTGCATCCTTTTATTTTTGCAGTAACTAACTTTTTTATTTATTTATTTATTGCCACATTTTTTTTGTCATTAACTTCTGTTGTGGCTTTTAATTTTTTTTTTTTTTTTTTTTAATCTGCACCACCTCTTGTTTTTTATTTGCACCGGGCTTCGGTTTCTTTTTCTTTTCTTTTTTTTTTCATTAGTAACTTCCATTGGGGCTGGTTTTTTTTTTCTGTTTTTTTTTTTCTTTTTTTAAAAAAATGTTCATTTGCAGCAGTGGTGGTTCTCGGCCACCGTATAAATGAATGCCCCTTTTTTTCAGAAGTTTGAAAAAAAATGTATCCCATTAGTCAAAGACTTAAAAGTATAGACAGACATCATTAAATGTTTTAAGATTTTTCATCTCTCTGTTGTTGTTTTCCAGCTACAACTTTTACCATCTTGATGCTGCTGGCTAGTCTGAACAGCTGTGTGAACCCCTGCATATACCTGCTGTTCAATGGAAAGGTGACCATGAGACTGTGTGTGAGTGAGCCAGATCTGAAGGACTACATGCATAAGGAGACCACTATATGGCCAATTCCTCCTACATAACTTTCAAAGGCCTCTCCGGCTGTAGATCTCTCTATTTCTCCTCCTCCTCAGACTGTCAGGTTTGGTGTAAAGGTACTTTGGATCCTTGTATATGAAGTGTGGAGACCCAACATCGCTGTGGCTTTGTAAGTCCCAGCAAAAATGATATTTTTGTGAACCCACATTGTAGAAATGAACAGCCTGTGTCATTTTTGTCATGCAAAAAACCCATTGAAAAATCCACCTTAAGACTAGACTGGGATATTGCAGTGATTATAAAGCACAATGCAGTTTATATAAAGATGCTGATGTGGCACAAAGTTGTTAATATTTACAATACATAATCAATTATTTTTCTTGCATTCGGCTCTGACTGAAATGTCAAGACAACTATTGGGTAGATTTCCTTTTATACAGGTGCAGTGTCAGTATATTAATAAGGTAATTTTATCAGAGGACACTGACCATCATTTTACCATTATGACGCAATTTGTATTGTATTGTGGTGGTTTGTGTAACAGCTGAAATTGTGAAATGAAAATGAGTAAATTGTGCCATGTGTTGCAAAGTGTTGGACATGAATGTGTCTTACCGTGTTGTAAATTGTATGTAGTTCCTGTATGTCCTCTGAAAATACATCCTCAGGCTACATTTAAGGAGGTATGAACATCTGTACATTGTGTGTTCAAACCTCTGCATTGGTCAGTGTGAAGAGTCTGAAGATATGCAGCACACATTCACCGTTAAATGTTATAGCCTTTCCTCTCATCACGTGGATGTGCTGTCAAATAAAGTTTTGGGGCTTCTCATTCATCTGTTTTTCTGCCAGTTATGTTGAAATACAACCTATTGTTTATTTTCGCTCTTAAGAAAAGTCCAAAATTCAGTTTTTCTGTAGTGTATGAGGCCTCTCAGTGAACCCTAAAGAGAGTGAGCCTTCCTGGTTGTTTTGTGCTTAAGGATGGGGAATTGGGAAATTATTGGATAGCAGAAAACTCTCTATGATGTTTTAAAAAGAAAAGAGCTGTGTTTGTTTTATATGTATCTCATTTTAGAGACACTAGAACAACTTGTGTCATAGTTCCCAAAACAAAAACAAAAAAAAAATCTGTACCTTTACAAACAGAAAACATGTTTTGTTTAAACATACTCTTTTTTTTTTTTTTTACTGATCCCTGATTGAAATAGTCAAGAATGAGAAAAAACACTTCGCAAAATCAGGTAAGCTACAACAGGACGTTCATTTCAGCACAGCCACGTATCATGGTAGTATATCAATGTAAAAATGAGAATAACATTAGATCAGTGCTATACTGGAACCTTATACCTTATGCTAAAGGCTAAAAACGGCAGGTATTAAACCATATATTTTAGACCCCGAGTCCGAAGAGGAGGTGGAAGTTGAGGAAGAAGCCGGAGATCTCCAGCGGTGTTTTCTCATTCATTCTGCCCAGTTTAAGTTCATTTTCCTGGCAGTAAACCGAAGGAAACACCGGTCGTTTGGAAGAGACCCATAGCGGATACAGTGGTAGCTGGCTCTCGCTCTGGCTGTGACTGAGTACGAGAACGAGAGAGTGGGCACGGCTCACCGAGGATGCGCTCGTGAATAATAATGAGCAAGGTCAGCGCAACGTAACACCGACCTGCTTTTTCAATTGGCCTGGTTTACTCGTTCCTTTATTTTAAACCTTTACAGAATGCAAACAACGTAACGGTTTGTTTTCACATTTACAACATAAGACGAACATAATATGGACCTTATCTGACACAAAAAAAAACAAAAATTACATTTTTATGGCAGGTCTGGTAATGATGATGACTCTTTATTTATGTGTCATGCACAATAAGTGTCCAATCTTCAGAAATACATCTGCAGTGGCTCATTTATTCACAGTACAGAGTCATTTCAAAGTTACATACTCCTTTCGTTGACATCGCAACTTATATTTTTCATAATCATCTTACCAGACAGTAAATACAAGCGTATTTTATTGTTGCTTGGAGGCACAAAGCAATTAAACAGGATTTGACAAACATACAGTTTCTACACCTACTGTATAAAAAGCAAACTATCCATGTTCAGTTATGCATTTGTGTATTTAAAGATATATGCAGTTATAAGCTAAGAGGGTTGCATTTGACTGGAAATGTAAGCAAGAAGACAGCATGTAAACTTAACTTTATGAGACCTGTTAGTATTTATTTGTTATTTTATTGTTTGGGATTTTGATTTACAAACCCACAACAATCGAGACAAACAAGCATTTTTGTCTGAATTGTTGTGAATGATGAGCAAAAGTTTTTAATTCAGTAAAACCCTAACCTGCTCATTGTCATATTCAATACCTAGTATTATAAAACATCATTTTAATGGTTAAAAGAAAGTCTTGTTTGTGAACATGACTCATAGTCATGTTGTCTTGTGGTGATGTACGTATAACGTTAACAAGTGTTCAGAATCATAATGCAGACTCTTGAGAGGCACCAGGTACAAGCTGTCTGAAATGGCTCTTTCCAAAGGAGCCTCTTATAAAGATTGTATAGGCCAACATCATTGCCATTAAAAAAAGTCGATTTCCTTGGAAGTCTTTAAATATTGCTGCCTGGGCCAGAAACTCTCATATTTTGTAAATGAGCAGACGCATTTATATGTAAACACATAGCATGAAGTGCTAAATCCGTCCACTTATTCAACACAAGTTATGGCACATGGTCATGTGTCTCCGAAATTGCTTGACCTGCTTGATATCCTCTGTTGATTGCGGACATCTCTCAGCACCTCCTCACATTTAACGACAGGCACTGACAGAAACTGTCAGAAAATGCAGGGTTTGAACCACAAATTATTGTCAAGCTCTGCAGAATACATTTTCAGCTCACGGTAACTTGTTTTTGATGTGGGTGAGGACACTTATTTACATAAATGCCTATGTATGTTCTTGTGAGTGTATGGAAACTGCATGTCTTGAATTACTGTCTTTACACCATTAAATTGTAAAACACAAGATGAGCCCATTGTGATGCTTTGGTGAAGACCTTTGCTGTCACTTTGGTTTACCTTGTCTTTATTTTCATCTCTTGTTTCTTGTTCAACAGCTTGAGATGCGGCAGAACAGAGTAGTCAAAGAAAGGTGCTTTAAAATCCCCCTCCAATCATTTGTTTTTTACTTCTTAAAGTGTTCTCAGTGATCTTTAAATTGTGATTATTAAGTTTTTACCAAACATCACATTACCTGTGTCATTTTTAAGGGCTTTTCTTCTGCAGAGCTCCAGTAGATCATTAGCAATTCGCCTCTGAGTCGTGGGCGGAGACAGCGCTGCTCTGCACACTCCTCTTCACGTTAGCTTGCAGCCTAACATTGCCGGTGTAGTAAAAGTGGCAGGTAACATAGGAGCGATTCAGCTCTCTGACACTAATGTCTTTAGGGACATGATGAAAGTTAATATCATAATTAGCTTTCTTACGAGCATTGCAATCCGCGAACACACACACTTGTTCCACGATCGTCCTCTGTATTTTTTATAGACTGTATATACTATGGACAACTTGGTCCCGCCTTCCACTAGTAGATTTGAAGCCAACAAGCTCTTGGTAATTCCGTGTTTTCTCTCCATTTCCTGAAACGAAACATTGCGCAGTAGCGTTGTACGCACTCCACCACTTGTGCAGTAGCATTGTACGTGTTAGGCGGGAGAGCCGCAGAGAGTCGCTGTGATGACACTCGGCTCAAACATTGTATCCCCCGGGTGAGCTACGCAATCTTCATACGCCCAAAGGCTGTATCAGGTGTCAATCATAGAAAACATGAACCCACTAATAACTTTTAAAAACGGAGCTTCACAGAAAAAGAAGACTTGAGCACAAACCAGTCTTACAATAACTGCATGTCAACATCACAAGCAGGAGGGAGAAAAATTTATGTTCTGTGTAATATATTTTTAAATTTTGTCCACAGCTTCATAGGGATTGCTGGCGGAGGTGGGATTTATGACCTTTACTGCAGAGTGGCTTCACCCAGCGGGGAGGCAGATGACATCCTTTCTATATACAGTCTACAGTATTTCTACTCTATATGCAGAGTGCGGCCTGCATAGCGGGGCTCCGGGGGTGGAACTTGGATTGGTTGCGTATGAAATCTCACTGTGTCTGAACCTGCCGTTTGGGTCTGCCAGAGATTCACAGCGATTTGAATAAAGAAATACTCTGAAACACTTAGAAACGCAATTTTGCATTTGGTTTTTTCATGATATATCCTGTAGCATCAGAAAAACGCCATATTAACATATAATATAAAAAAAAAACAAGAGAAACATATTTTTCATCAGAGTGGGTCTTAAAAGAACATTTGCTTTTGTAGTTTCACTCACACGATTAGTCCATGTCTTATTAACATCAACCATATCGAATTTGGTTGAGCTTGCATTTTTCTGCATACAAGCAGAGCAGCAGCAATCCAAAAGAGTCTGCTGACAATTTTAAAAAAATCCTTTTTAGAAGGCACTTTTTCACAAACTTACCAATACATGGCAAAATTAGTTAGAGCAGTCACATAACAAAGCAGAATTTAACACCCCACACTTAAAATACTATAGGTGTATAACCACAGACTGGTCAATGTACCTCCCCTCCTCAATAGAGGTCACAGCAGGTTGCAGACAAAGGATTTGATTAGGCATGTAGTCAATGGAAAAGGCTGCTGTTGCTCAAAAGCAGCAGTGACAGCAGCAGCGGCAGCGGCACTCTCACGTGTACCCACATATGACAGTCAACATTCACACATGACCTGTGCCCAGCCCCTGCAAGGAGCCACTTAGCCACAACAACAACAACAATCATTTTTCACCCTATATGTTGCTACTCTGGGTTCACATCTGCTCTCTGAGAAAAAGTGTTTTCTGTCGAGGTGTGCCTGGTGTCCCCACCTAAATGAAGTGCATTGATCTGTAGAAAACATGAACATCATTTTTTATACTATTAGAGGGAACTAACTAATATATGATAATATAAAATATGTCAAATATGATCAAGAATAAGTCAATATGCTGATCTCCTCTCAGAATAAAAGGGCGATTCAATGTTGGTACTCACTGAGAAGCAGAGGTGTGGTGTGGCACATCAAGAGGACTAAAAGTTAGATTGACATTCATGCTGATCACATATAGAAAAAAAATGAGTCTATCAGTGTAACATACGACTGAAGCTCATCCAACTGGTCGTGATTGTTCATTTACTATCCTGCACAGGAAGAAGGTAAAGCACTCTGGGGACTTCCCTCAAAGGGGGTTCGAAAAAAATCTCTTCTTTGGGAGGGTTGCTCATAAGATTTTACCAACTACACATGGACTCAGTAGAGCTATGGTAGTCAGTTATTTTTGTAATTTTTGGATGTCCTTTTATGTGTTGGATAATTCACTGAATGTGAATGTCTGGTTGAGAAAAACGACTCAAAGATGAGGGGGACAGCGAAAATTCTTGAATCACATCGTGAGACAAATCTTAGGGCTTTGAGAACACTCAATAAATGATGCAAGTGTGTTTAAGCCAGTGGTTCTCAAGTCCAGTCCTTGAGGCCCACTGTCCTGCATGTTATGGATGTTTCCCTGCTCCAACACACCTGATTCAAATGATCAGCTCGTTATCAAGCTCTGTAATGGCTTAGTAACGAGCTGATCATTTGAATCAGGTGTGTTGGAGCAGGGAAACATCCAAAACATGCAGGACAGTGGGCCTCAAGGACTGGACTTGAAAACCACTGGTTTAAGCTAAGATCCCTTCAGTGATAGAATGTGGTACACTTCTGATTGTGTGCT